CAAACCTAGACAGCATCTTAAAAAGCAGAGACATCACCTTACCAACAAAGGTCCGTATAGTTAAAGTCATGGTTTTCCCAGTAGTGATGTATGGAAGTGAGAGCTGGACCATCAAGAAGACTGATCGCCGAAGAATTGATGCTTTTGAATTATGGTGTTGGAGGAGACTCTTGAGAGTCCCATGGACTGCAAGAAGATCAAACCGATCCATTCTTAAGGAAATCAGTTCTGAGTGCTCACTGGAAGGACAGATTGTGAAGCTGAGGCTCCAATACTTTGGCCACCTCATGAGAAGAGAAGACTCCCTGGAAAAGACCCTGATGTTGGGAAAGATGGAGGGCACAAGGAGAAGGGGACGACAGAGGACAAGATGGTTGGACAGTGTTCTCGAAGCTACAAACATGAGTCTGACCAAATTGCGGGAGGCAGTGGAAGACAGGAGTGCCTGGCGTGCTCTGGTCCATGGGGTCACGAAGAGTCGGACACGACTAAACGACTAAACAACAACAAGCAATTATGAGGATGATAAACCACGAGGGGGCAGGATATACATTTTTAGGGGGGGAAACAATCTTCGCAGTTCTGTCAATCCATTTTTACACACATTCTAATAGTGCCCCACACTTCCATGCTTTATTCTTATAAACAGCTTTACAACTGCAAGAGTACAATTCAGAAACCTGCAACATTTCACCTGGGAAACGTACCCAAATATCCCTTTCTCTTAAGAATCACATAACATTTTCCCTTCTTGCATTAGGGAGCCATCAGCACCACAGTGTTGGAAGCTTCCATGTGCAAGGAACACATCCAGCTTCCACATTTGAACAAAGCTCTTCTTACTATATTATGACTACTTAACAGTAGAACAGAATGTTACGTCCAGGACTGACTGCAAGTTCCTTGGGAGCAACAATCTTTTTTTGCTTGCAAAATTATAAAGCATCAAGTGCGATATAAATCATTATTACAGTAGTAGTAATAATGATGATCAGTTTAATAGACAAAACTCTTGATCACCCAAGGCTGCTAGAATTTTAACACAATGCAGTTACTAACACTTAAAACAATTAGCTTGACTCTTTCATTCGCTCAAGATCTTCTCACCCCAATGCCGCTATTATACCTATTGAAAAGACAAATGGCATTGTGGAAGGAGAAAGAAAGACCTCCCTATCAAGTTCCAGAGTTAATTCTTTGCTAAAACAAGCCCTTAGAACAAAATAAAATGAAACGGCAGAAGAAAATCTAATAAAGTCCTCAGTTCCAAAGCAAGACTCATTCAAGACTCAGCAGTTCTTCTAATTCATCCTCATGATTCAAATCACCACGTATCGGAAAGTTAAAGCAATCACCAGTTTGTTGTTCTTTAAATAAATTAATAAAGACACAGAGAATGAAGTTCCCAGCCAATTTGTGTTTAAGTACAAAGCTGATGTTTTCAAATATTGCGGGGTGGGGTGGGATGGTGTAAAGCAGTGATATCCTGAACCTTAAAAAGACCCAAAACTTGGATCACTAAGGCTGCAGCCCTAACTGCACTTACCTGAGAGTAAGCCCTGCTAAATCAAAAAGGACCTTACTTCTGAGTAGACAGTAGGACTGCAGCAAGAAACACAGCTGGGAATCAGGACTTTCTGTTTTAACGTCTCAGCCACAAGAAAATATAATATTGGAGATTAGGGAGAAAGGAATAGGAATTGATGGGGGGGGGGCTGAGGAAAGACCAAAAACCACAGCTAGCAAGACAAGGCACACTTTCTGGAGAGCAAGTCTCACACACAGTTGCTTGGGGCGAGGACAGCAGAGGGATCATAGTTGGGTCTTGCTTGCGTGTGTGTGTTTTTCAGAAAAAACGTAACTTGGAAGGGATCCTGAGGGTCATCTAGCCCAACCCACTGCAATGCTTTTTAGCTTGCATCGATCTCAATGACCTCCAGTTATTTTAGTCGGATAGGCGATTAACAGGCTTGTTTCATAAATAAGGGGGAGGGAGGGTTGCTGGCTTGGTTCGGTTTGCCTTTGTTCTAGTTTTTAGCATGCGTTTAGTAGTTTCATGCTGTGAGCCGCCCTGATATCCATGGGTGGAGGGAAATAATAATAATAATAATAATAATAATAATAATAATAATAATAATAATAATAATGGTGATGTTTTTCGCTGGGCATGGAGTGAGCTGGTGATGGTCTGCTGCTGGAATGAATGGGGTCGGTGCTAAATGGTCTGGCTTGCTTTACAACCCCATGGACCTTGTTCGCGGGGTGGGGTATCGGAAAAGGAGCCCACCCCCCTCAAAAAAAGAAAAAGGAGGAGGAGGAAAGCGAAGGGAGGAGGCTTCCCCTCCCTCCCTGGGACAAGAGTTGCCCGTAACATTACACAACGTTGGGGGGCGGATGACAGCCGAGCACACCATGTGCGGCGGACACACAGGGCGCGGTTCGGGCAGAGAGAGGAGAAACCAGGGCGGCAGCGGCAGCTTCTGCCGGGGGGACGGGAAGGGAGGAGCGGCGTTGCCTACTACTCACGGGCGCCGCCGGCTCGGTGCTGCTGCCCGGTCTCGGGCCCGATGTAGCTGAGCAGGACGGGCAAGGGGACCCCGCAAGGGCCCGGCGGGGCGGCTCTCCAGGCGCTCTGGGGCTGCAAGCCCGGCGCGGCGGCGCCTCCACGGCCCGGGTAGAGGAGGAAGAAAGGGGGCGAGTCGGGGGGCGCCTCTTCTTCTTCCTCCGTGGCGGCGGCGGAGGCTTTGCCCTCCTCCTCCTCGCGCTCCGCTTCCCCCTCGCCGTCGCCCGCCTCTCTCTTCCCCGCTCCCTCCATGCTCCCTCAGAGGCTGAGGGTGGCGGCGGCGGTTCCCTCTTTTTCTCTCCCTTCTTCCTCCTCCTCCTGGACGGCGGCGAGAGTGAGCGGGCAACTTTTTCCACAGGGCGGGCGAAAGAAAGCGGCGGGCGGCGGCGCCTCCTCCTTCTCCCGCCTAGACCAGCCCCCTTCCTAAGCCCTGACTGGGCCCAGGCCGACCGGAGGTTGAGATGGGCCGTCCCGGCCTCGCGTGGAGCTCCGCCCCCGTCTTGCCTGGCTCTTCTTTCTCCCCTCACGGCCGCTGTGGGCTCCGCTCTGGCGCTTTCCCGCCGCTTTGTGGTGGGGGGGGGAGGGGAAGGTTCTTGCCCCTCTCCTTTTCCCTCAGAAGAGGGGCCACTTCGGTAGGGGTCAGTTCTGACCCCTTTACTTTGAGGGGGGGGGGTCCGTTTGACCCTTTCGCCCTCAGGAGTGGACACATTTCCCGCCCCCTAGGAAGGGCGACCCCTTTGGGGTCAGTTCGTGCCCTTCCCGCCTCTGAAATACTATGGCGTGTGTGGGTACCATTATTGCCCTTTAAGTGGCTGTGTGGAAAGAGACCACTTTGCTGGTCAGTTTTTGCCACTGTGGGGTGGGTGGGTGTCTACACAAACATATATATTATTCAATTTTACATTCTACATTTGAATTCAAACATCAGCATCATCCCCATTTAGGATTTCCTGAATCCTTAAGACTTCCCACCACCCCTCCATGGTTTCCATTATCAAATTTTTCCTGCGGCCATCACTAATTTCTCTTTTTCTTTCAATAGTCCATTTTTACCTTCGTTTTTAATACATTACGTGCGTTACTCAGATCCTGCCAAAGTTTTTAGTTGTTTAGTGTTCTCTTAAGTACCGTACATTACTGTAGTACCTCGGGTTACATACGCTTCAGGTTACAGACTCCGCTAACCCAGAAATAGTACCTCGGTTTAAGAACTTTGCTTCAGGATGCGAACAGAAATCGTGCTCCGGCGGCACAGCAGCAGCAGGAGGCCCCATTAGCTAAAGTGGTGCTTCAGGTTAAGAACAGTTTCAGGTTAAGAACGGACCTCCGGAACGAATTAAGTACTTAACCTGAGGTTTGTTGTTTAGTCGTTTAGTCATGTCCGACTCTTCGTGACCCCATGGACCAGAGCACGAGGTACCTGAGGTACCACTGTATAAAGTTTTGCCATTCCTTCTTAAAGTTCACTGTGGGCTTCATTCTTGACTCCTATCTGCCAGGAAATGGACACTTGAGAGCAGTTCCCAATCCGAATCCACCACAGTTGTCAGTTCCTTAAACTAAAATGAACTATATCCCCTCACCCATTTCCCTGCCACACAAAAAAAGTAATTGACATGTTACCGTTACCATTTAGGGCTTAAAACCCTTGAGGAAAATGCACTATTTGAGTTTATATTCTGGCTGAGCCTTTTTTCATACCAGATGCAATTAGAAAGGAAATTTGTACCACCTGAGCATGTACAGAAGATGTCACACCTTGCGGATTTAATTTGCTTTTGTATGCCTAGTAAGGGCTGGGTAACACATTAACTTGATTTCTCTCTGCTCTCTTAAAAATACTGCATTTGAGTTGGTAAGTAGTAGATACCACGGTTTGCCTGCAGAAGGTCTCGGGTTTATTAATATTTATTTCTTCTATATCCCACCTTTCCTCCAAGGATCTCAAGGCGGCACAGTACATGGTTTTCTTCCTCCTCATTTTATCCTCACAACAACCCTGATAGGTAGGTTAGGCTGAGAAAGTTGACTGGCCCAAGATCGCTCTGTGAGGTTCAATCCTTGGCATTTCCAGGCAGTGCTCAGAAAGGTTCCCGCTTGAAACTCTTAACCAGCCATTACTACCAAAAGGTCAAAGTATTGTTCCCTTTCCCCACTCTACCCCTTGACTGCCCCACCCCACCCATTTATGGCTAGGCAGAAATACAAACCTATGGTTCCTTAATCAAATACACTTGCTTGGCTTTTACTGCAAGCATATTGAGAAGCCATCGTGAAGCATGGCCTCTCCTCGTAAATGCACACAGAAGAATATGTCTATATTTGCTTACCTCAAATGATCTAGACATGGTCTGTTTGCTAATTTCTGCACAGGGGCACTTTCCCTGTAGAAGATAAAAACTCAAACTGCAGCCCGTTTAAAAAGCTTGCCCTAATCTTCCATTTCACCACTTTATTCCCTTTACAAAGTGATCTCTCAAACATTACAGAGAATTTACAAACTTTTCAAATAAACACCATGGTTCACTCTTATTTCTGATGCCCTAGCATGAGCATCAAACCAAAGACACCATCCAATAGGCTTCGGGGGAATGCTAAGATTTTCAAAAGTACAATAATATTTGGGGGAAGGGGACTAAAGAGGTGTGCAAAAACAGGCCTACTGAGGACCAACCATGATTACTGACCACTGTGCTGTTTGTGGGCACAGGATGTAGAGAGGAAGGTAGATGGAATATCACAAAGCATTGCAGCAAAAAAGTCCTCTACATTGCAAGAGTTTGTCCCACTTGTCAGTCCTTAAAACCACATCTCAAAATCATGGCTTGCTCTACAAAAAGACTGACCTCTCCCCACCTGCAACGGAAGTTACTTTTCTGTAAAGTAACTTCCAATCACTATTTTCTGTAGCCTTAAACCCCTCACAATTTTAATTACAATGTTAATTACAATGTTGGTGCCCACCACTAAAAACAACTCATCACAGCATGTGCCTCTATGCTTCTATCCCTTTTAAAAAATTAACTACTAATAGGCATCCCCTCACAGTTCATTTCTGAATGGTTTCTAGTCATTATGTTAAACATACCTGCTAACATTTTAAAATCAAAAAGTGATTGGTTTTGGTTTCACTCAACCCAGCTACCAATGCACTGTGGCTTCAAATATGTATACTGTATTAATGTAGAGCACACAGGTAACTTAGAAGGTATAGAAAGTATAAAGTTTTTGTGAGTCTGAATGAAGCAAATTAAACTTATGCATTAGAAGCTTTACCTGCCAAAGCTCTTATCATTCACAACATACAGGACCGTCTCCACTTTTGCATTGGATCTGATCAGCCTAGCCCTAAGTGTATGCTCAAAATAGCTTAATGCAGATTAAATATTCCTTGGGTCCCTTAAGAACTAATGAGAGCCTTATTGGGTCAGGCCAAAGTATCTGAAACTCAATCCTGGGCATATTAACTAAGAATTCCCATTGAGCTCAATGCAGTTACTGAAAGTCAAAAGTGCACAGAAATGCAACCTAGCAGGTCAAAAAGTGGTGGAAGGTGAGAGGATTGTTGACCTACTATGTTCTCAATGCAGTGATTGGGATTTACATTTAAACACAGTGCCTGGTTACTGCGGATGACCTCAAAGATGAGCTGCTGGATAAATGAAACAACTGGGAAAGGCAGCTGCCCTGAACTTTGCATACTATGAACAATGCTGCTTTCTCCATGTTAAAATAAATACATATTGCCTTTATTTACCCCAAAAATGAACATTTATTGAGCTCACATTCACTGCCTTCAGCGAGTAAAAAAAGAATTATACAAAAAGAATCACTTAAGCTTAACACTTTTCTTAACTCCAGCACGAATGCCAGACAGTTCGCCTCCGTATCTTTGTTCTTCTCTTCGGACCTCACGAACCTGCCCCTTCCTACGAATCTTGGCACGTCTGAATTTCTCACGGTGCTTGACTCTTGGGTTACGATCAATCTTTTTCCTTCTGGGTGTGAGACCTTTATTCTTGACAATCTGGTATGTTGCACCTCTCTTTTGATCTCCTGCTTCCTCTTCCATAATCAGGTCTTCCACACATTCTGTTTCTTCTCGTTTCCTCTTTTTCTTAAGCTTTATCTTTTCTTCCATCTCCTTATAATAATTCAGGGCAGCCTCCTCATCCAAATCTGAATCATCTGTAGGTTCTTCAGCATCCTTATCATTAGAAAGCTCACCAACAGCTTTAGGTTTGATTTTATTAACAGGCTTTCTAGCAGGCACGATAAGCTTCTTCCTACCTTCCACATCACCAGCATCGCTACTATGGAATTCATTAAGGAGAAGGCGAATCTCCGGTGACAGTTTTTGGTCCACAGTCGCCAAGTCATTTATTAAATTTCTGTAACTTACAAGTCTTTCAATGACGGGGTGACCGTGGACTGGAATCCTTTTGGCTTTCAGCACCAAGTAAAAACTAATGTTGCAGCAATAGTTCAAATAGAGATGGTATTTGGTCTGTAAATACTGGCTGCCCTTTCCCTCTGGGATGACCCCATCTTTTACCATTTGCATGAGCGGCTCCAGTTCATCTCTGAGCTCAGTTAACTTGGCTTCAAAGTCCTGAATCAGCTCCAGCAACTCCGGGGATTCCTTTTTCAACAGCTTCAACTTCTCTTTTTTAGAGAGAGACTGCAAGTCCTTGGCAATTTTCGACCCGGACTCTTTTCGACCTGGCTCCTGGGCTGCCGCAGCGTAGGCCTCTATCAGGTCCAGGCCGTAGTCATCCTCCCCCAGATTCTGCACCAGCCTTTTCTGAATGGCTTGGGCCTCCTCCTCTTCCTCCAGCTCCTCGGCTTCGGCTTCCTCCTGGCTCTGCTTGGCTGCTTTGGAGCGAGCCGCAGCCTTGCCGTAGTCGGTGCCGTAATAGAGCTGTTTCCGCTGGCCCCAGGCGAACTCATGGGGGAGGCCGAGGTCTCCGCTGCCGCCCCGCTGCTCCTCCAGGTCGCTGTCCATATCCAGGGGCTCGCCTTCGCCTCCATCCTCGTCGTCGTCCGCGCCCTCATCTTCTCCATCCTCCTCCGTCTCACTCTCCTCAGAGAGCTCTAGTCCCAAGACCTCCTCCTCGCCATCTTCCTCCTCCTCCTCCTCCTCGCTGCCCAGCGCCGCCAGCACTGCCTCCTCCAGACGCCGCTGGTGGAAATCGTCTGCCTCCTCCGTGAAGATCGGGGCTCCCGGCTCCGGCTCCTCCATCTTTTCCTCCCGCGGCTGCGAGGCCCTCAGGCCCGGGGCTATTCTCCGCCGCGGCTTCCCCATGCTGCCGGAGGCGCGGACGGATCGGCGGTCGGCAAACCAGCGTGCGGTATTGCTGCTGTGCGGTCGCCAACGCACGACACTACTTCCGGGTCGAAGGTCGGTGCGCCTCGGAAACCGGCTTTCACTTCCGGTTTACAAGAAACAGGTAAGCCGCCGCCACCTAATTCCCGATTGTCATTTCGTTGTTCAGGAAATAACCGGCGGCCGTAAGTCTGACGCTTGCCGTCCTTAATCTACGCGTCTCCAGTATATCCCGAACTGTACAGCGACCTTCCTTTCGAGGTGCTTTACTTCCTGCCTGGACTAAGCGAGTAAATTCTACATCCGGTCGGTTGATGCGCCCTGCTTTACACCTTCCGCCTCACTTGTGGACGCTCTGGTTTCGGTAAGAAGCATAGAGAGGTGATGGGGGAGGGTGCGCGCCGGAGGCGAGGCGAGGCGGGGCGTTCGGCCGATGAAGTGCGCATGCGAGAACCGCAGGGGGACACGTGGCCGACGTAAAGCGTGCGGCGTAATGGAGTGCTAAGCGGGTGTATCTCAGCCTCTTCCGCTGCTTCCATTTAATAGAACGAGCATCCACACAGGATGAGCATCCACACAGGAGAGCATTTGGGTCAAAATTAAGGGAGAGAAGAATAACAGTGACCTCATTGTGGGAGTTTACTATAGATCCCCAAGCCAAACGGAGGACATAGATGATGCCTTCCTGGAACAGATGGCCAAGCATGCAAAAGGAAGGGAGATAGTAGTAATGGGGGACTTCAATTACCCAGATATTTGTTGGATGTCAAACTCAGCCAAGAGCATAAGGTCAAACAGATTCCTCACTGCCCTTGCAGACAACTTCATTGTCCAGAAAGTGGGAGAAGCAACAAGAGGAACAGCCATTTTAGATCTGGTCCTAACCAATGTTGATGACCTGGTTAGTGGGGTAGAAGTGGAAGGATCATTAGGCGCGAGTGATCATGCTCTTCTGAAGTTTACTATACAGCGGAAAGGAGCAGCCAAGCATACTAGGACTCAATTTTTTGACTTTAAGAAAGCTGACTTCATAAAGCTTAGGGAAGTGCTGGGTGAGATCCCATGGACAGTAATACTAAAAGGAAAGGGAGTTCAAGATGGCTGGGAGTTTGTTAAGAGGGAGATAGTAAAAGCACAACTTCAGGCAATACCAATGAGACGGAAACATGGAAGGTGCCTAAAGAAGCCAGGGTGGCTATCTAAAGAACTTTTAACTGAGTTAAGATTAAAAAAGGATGTGTACAAAAAATGGAAAAGGGGGGAAACCACCAAAGAGGAATTCAAACAAATAGCCAGCACGTGTAGACACAAAGTCAGAAAAGCTAAAGCACAAAATGAACTCAGGCTTGCTAGAGAGGTTAAAAGCAACAAAAAAGGCTTTTATGGGTATGTTCGTAGCAAAAGGAAGAACAAAGAAACCGTGGGGTCACTCAGAGGAGAAGATGGTGAAATGCAAACAGGGGACACAGAAAGGGCTGAACTCCTCAATGCCTTCTTTGCCTCAGTCTTCTCCGATAAAGAAAACAATGCCCGACCTGAAGAATTTGGAGCAAATGATTCAGCAGAGGAAACACAGCCCAGAATAACTAAGGAGATAGTACAAGAATACTTGGCTAGTCTAGATGTATTCAAGTCTCCAGGGCCAGATGAACTGCATCCAAGAGTATTAAAAGAACTGGCAGATGTGATTTCAGAACCACTGGCAGTCATCTTTGAGAATTCCTGGAGAACAGGCGAAGTCCCGGCAGACTGGAGGAGGGCAAATGTTGTCCCTATTTTCAAAAAGGGGAAAAGAGAGGACCCAAATAATTACCGCCCAGTCAGTCTGACATCAATACCAGGGAAGATTCTGGAGCAGATCATTAAGCAAACAGTCTGTGAGCACCTAGAAAGGAATGCTGTGATCACCAATAGTCAGCATGGATTTCTGAAAAATAAGTCATGTCAGACTAACCTGATCTCGTTTTTTGACAGAATTACAAGCCTGGTAGATGAAGGGAACGCAGTGGATGTAGTCTACCTTGATTTCAGCAAGGCATTTGACAAGGTGCCCCATGATATTCTTGTAAAGAAGCTGGTAAAATGCGGTCTTGACTATGCTACCACTCAGTGGATTTGTAACTGGCTGACTGACCGAACCCAAAGGGTGCTCATCAATGGTTCCTCTTCATCCTGGAGAAGAGTGACTAGTGGGGTGCCACAGGGTTCTGTCTTGGGCCCGGTCTTATTCAACATCTTTATCAACGACTTGGATGATGGACTCAAGGGCATCCTGATCAAATTTGCAGATGACACCAAACTGGGAGGGGTGGCTAACACCCCAGAGGACAGGATCACACTTCAAAACGACCTTGACAGATTAGAGAACTGGGCCAAAACAAACAAGATGAATTTTAACAGGGAGAAATGTAAAGTATTGCACTTGGGCAAAAAAAATGAGAGGCACAAATACAAGATGGGTGACACCTGGCTTGAGAGCAGTACATGTGAAAAGGATCTAGGAGTCTTGGTTGACCACAAACTTGACATGAGCCAACAGTGTGACGCGGCAGCTAAAAAAGCCAATGCAATTCTGGGCTGCATCAATAGGAGTATAGTATCTAGATCCAGGGAAGTAATAGTGCCACTGTATTCTGCTCTGGTCAGACCTCACCTGGAGTACTGTGTCCAGTTTTGGGCACCACAGTTCAAGAAGGACACTGACAAACTGGAACGTGTCCAGAGGAGGGCAACCAAAATGGTCAAAGGCCTGGAAACGATGCCTTATGAGGAACGGCTAAGGGAGCTGGGCATGTTTAGCCTGGAGAAGAGGAGGTTAAGGGGTGATATGATAGCCATGTTCAAATATATAAAAGGATGTCACATAGAGGAGGGAGAAAGGCTGTTTTCTGCTGCTCCAGAGAAGCGGACACGGAGCAATGGATCCAAACTACAAGAAAGAAGATTCCACCTAAGCATTAGGAAGAACTTCCTGACAGTAAGAGCTGTTCGACAGTGGAATTTGCTGCCAAGGAGTGTGGTGGAGTCTCCTTCTTTGGAGGTCTTTAAGCAGAGGCTTGACAACCATATGTCAGGAGTGCTCTGATGGTGTTTCCTGCTTGGCAGGGGGTTGGACTCGATGGCCCTTGTGGTCTCTTCCAACTCTATGATTCTATGATTCTATGATTCTATGATTCTAGGTCCAAGATACAGTACATATTAATCGATGCCAGTTAATAGCAATGCACTGTACACTCAGCTCGATAGACAGATAGATGTCTATTTAATTTCTCCTTAGGAATCTGCTTTATGCTGAGTCAGACTTTTGGTCCATCTGGGTTAGTGTTGTCTACACTGACTGGCAGCGGCTTTCTAGGCAGCAGCCTCGCAACTCACCCTGCAGGGACCGAACCTGGGAATCAGCTACATCAGGGGTGGGGTTTGGTAATATGGCTCCCTGAACAAGACCAAGATTGGGCGCCCCTTCCCCCTAAATATTTATTATTTTCCACAATATTTCATTTTGGTACAGCTGCTTTTTAAATGGGTCTTCTATAGGTACCCATATAAATATAAGTATTGTTGTGCTCCCTGTCTGCTCCACACCACCCTAAATCTGGTGTTGTCTGCTTGCAAGGCAGCCGCTGAGCTATGGTGGCCCTTAAAGAAAGAAAGAACAGACCTCCTGGATTTTTTCCCTGAGGCTTCTCACACAGACACCCTGCTTTAGCAACCGAAGGAGTGGTGGAAAGTGTGAAATGACAGTGTTGTTCTTCTCTCCCTGCTCACACTGCTAGGACTTGGGGTCTCTGGATGAAACCTGATTCAGAACAAGCAATGGTGTTGCTGCTCATGTTGTGAGATCATTTCGTTGCCACAAGATGGAGACAGATGCCGACTTTTAGCTTTTCGAAAGGATAAAATATATGTTAGGGTGGAAGCAGCTAACATGATGCCTTCTAGATGTTGGACTTCCATTTCCCATCAGCCTCAGCCGGAATGGCTAATGGTCAGGGATTATGGGAGTTTGAGTCCAACAACATCTGGAGGGTACCACACATTAGCAGCTCCTGCCATAGAAGGTAGGTTAATTGATGGATGCTGGCCACTGTTACTGAACAGTGGATGCTGGCCTTCAGTTACTGAAGTGTACATTGGAATATCAAAAGATGGACCGCCACATGCGAATTTCCCCAGAATAATCTGCTAGTTGCCATCAGAAACAAAATCCTGGGCTTCATGGGTCTTTGATTAATCCAGAAAGGCAAGTCTTGACATTTTTACATCTTCAGGACTGCCAATGGATTAACAGAATCGATAAATATATCAGTTTAAGCAAAGTCTGCAACCCTATACAAGTCTATACATGGAATATACTTCCGAGTAGCCCTACATAGGCTTGTGCTGCTGGTAATATATTAAATCCAAATTAATTTGCATATTAATAAAAACAATTGGCTTGTATGGAAATGAACATTCTTTTTTTCGTTTCTAGATAATTCATGTACCTGCGACAGCAGGGACTGCCTTAGTAATTAATGTAGAAGACAGGGTGCTTTTTCTGAGAGGACACCTTCCACCTACAGTTCTTGTAAGTTCAATAAACACTTCCATGAGTTTTGCAAGCACGTTTTTAGGCCATTAAAAGGCTTTTGATCACTGGTTAACTGAGTAAACACCACAGCCCCAAATGACATAGGAGGGTGTTAATAGGCAAGAATTGGTGCAGAGTCCGTGGCACCATTCACATAACAAAAACTACCATAGAGATATCAAGTTTTTCAAAAGTAGCAAGTCCATGGCTTCACTTTTGAAAAACAGGTCTGCAGTCCTTAGCTAACTGGGAACCACTGGTTTAGTCTAACCTGCTTGATGCAAGAAGGCTTTCCCCTAACAGATGACTTTTCCTGTCCAGACTCTGCTTAAAGACTTCCAGCGTCAGTGATCCCACCACCCCTCTAAGTAACGGGTTCTTTTGTTAACCTACTCTTACTGTCAAGTGGTTTCCTCCTAATATTGAAATGACACCTACCTGCCTATAGCTTAAGTCCATGAGATATAGTAGTGTCTTCTAGGGCACCAGAAAACAATTTTTTGCACTCCTCAATGACTGTGTGTGCATGACCCTTTACTCTGGCTCCAGTGTACTCCCATCACTGGTGTTTGAAACCATGTACACGTGATGTTAGCCACAATCCCATAGCTGTCCTGTAATTCTTGAGAAATCCTGCTGTTCACTGCATTTCTCCTCAAACCAGCTTCCATCCAATTTGAAAAATGTCAGCCACATTCAATTTGCAGTTAAGCTGAGGTGTGTGCACTTGAGACAACTGTTGCGTATGCCCAGATGACAGTTTTGTGAACAGGAGTTGGAAAGGTTGCAGGTGTGGAAAAAGCAATCGTGCTTTGAGTGATGAAATCTGGGAAGATTGCTGTACTTTAAGGTGCTAAAGCAGAGTTTTCCAAGCTTTTCATGCTGGTGACACACTTTTTAGACATGCCTCATTTCGCAACACAGTCATTCAGTTTTACTACCAAACCAGAGGTTAAACTAGCCCCTTTCAGCGACACACCTACACACTGCAGCCAACACACTAATGTGTCATGACACACAATTTGGAAAGCTGTGTCCCAAAGTGTATTTGACCTAAGTGTCAGCCTTTCAGGAATTTGAAGTGCTGTCATGTCCCTCCTCTGTCTTCTACAAGTTAAATACAACCAGTTCCTGCCACCTTTCCAGTTGTGCTTCCAGTACAATTCCCTTTTTGATCTACTTGTGGAGGCTTTCAAGCTGCTTTTGGGGCTATCCTTCCACCTTAAGTTACCACAGTCAGTATGTTCTATCGGGCTGGACTGCTGTTTCTTAGTGCCCTCTGTACATCAGCAAGGCATTGTAATCACTCAGAGTGAAGTAATGGTGCTGAAAAGAACTCTTGCCTCTGAAACAAGCAGGCTGACCGATACCAAACCCAAGAGCCGTTCTATGCAAAATAAGTGCAGGTGCCAGTTTCTTCTTAAGAAAACCACAGAGCAGGTGCAGCAGGGCCAGTTGAACTGGAATTTAGAGTTACAGCTCTCTAAAGGAAAGGAAATGCAACTATTAGGGCGTTTAACCAAGTAAAGATGCTTAAATATTCAGATACCATGTATATAATTCAATAGCTTCATTAAAATGTGAATTTGCATATCTTTTTATTCAAAGGAGCTCTAGGTGGCATACGTGGTTCTCCATCCTCCTTAATCCCCACGACAACCCTCTGAGGCAGGTTACGCTGAGATGTAGTGACTAGCCGAAAGTCACCCAGGGAGCTTCATGGCTGAGCAGAGATTTGAACCCTCGTCTCCCACGCCCTGGTCTGAAACTCGAACCCAGGGGTCAGCAAGGTTTATCTTGCCTGGGCTGGATCGGTCCCGCAGAGATCCCTCTGTGGGCCGGATCGCGTGCATGCATGAGGCGCACCTGCGATTTTTGACATCTGCGCGTGCACACCCGCGATTTTCAGTGTCTGTGCATGCGCAGACGCAATTTACAGCGCCACAGAAGCGAGTCCCCGTGCTGTGCTGCACTGATTTAGTGCAGCACGCGAGTGGGCAGCTCAGTTCGGGGGCGGTTCGTGGGCCGGTCAAATGACCTCTGCAGGCCACTTCTGGCCCATGGTCCTTAGGTTGCTGACCCCTGCTCTACCATTACACCTGACATAGGACTCCTGCCAACCCCATAATGCAAGATGCTTTGGGACAGGCTGTGGTTACTCACTGGTGATCAATGGGCACTCTGCACATGCTTCAAGCCCGAGGCATTGTCCTCCTCATGAAATAAGTTACAGTTAATTCTATTGACATAGTAGGTGTGAGTCCTGACACACAAATCAGGGGAACCCTTGGATAAATTAAGTCCAGAGAGTGAATCAACTACCTTTGTAACTTTTTCCTGTTATTGATTTTCCCCTACCGGTTTTGTCAAACATGTACTTGGTGACTGAAAAAGTAACTGAAACTCTTCCTGTGGTCATAAGGTGTGTATTTTTAACCATGTGCACAGAGGCTGGTATAAGGAGCTCTGCAGCTGGACTGTGGAAAGCAAAGAGCCATGTGATCTAGAGGCAAGTGACTTCAGTAAAATAACTTTAATCTTTCAGGCACATGAGTTTGCTGGTTTAAAGGTGTAGATCTTGAGTTTGGGGGCAAAATTAAACTGAAGTTAGGACCCGCATAACGTAAAAATACTGTATATAGAATCACAGAATCTTAGAGCTGGAAGGGAACCCAAGGGTCATCAAGTCCAACCCTCTGTGATGCAGGAATCTCAGCTAAAGCATCCATGACAAATGGCCATCCAACCTCTGCTTAAAAACCTCCAAGGACGGAGAATCCACAACCTCTCATGGGAGACTGTTCCACTGCTAAACAGCTCTTACTGTCAGAAAGTTTTTCCAAATGTTTAGTTAGAATCTCCTTTCTTGCAACTTGAAGCCATTGGTTCAAGTCCTACCCTCCAGAGCAGGAGAAAACAAGCATGTTCTCTCCACCATGTGACAGCCCTTAAGGTATTTGAAGATGGTTATCATATCTCCTCTCAGTCTCCTCTTTTCCAGGCTAAACACACCCAGCTCCTTCAAGCGCTCTTCATAAAGCTTAGTTTCCAACCCTTGATCATCTTGGTTGCCCTTTTCTGCATATGTTCCAGCTTGTCAACATCCTTCTTAAACTGTGGTGTCCAGAATTGGGCACAATATTCCAAGTGTGGTCTGACCAAGTCAGAATAGGTAAAGGTAAAGGTACCCCTGCCCGTACGGGCCAGTCTTGCCAGACTCTAGGGTTGTGCGCTCATCTCACTCTATAGGCCGGGAGCCAGCGCTGTCCGGAGACACTTCCGGGTCATGTGGCCAGCGTGACAAGCTGCATCTGGCGAGCCAGAGCCGCACACGGAAACGCCGTTTACCTTCCCGCTAGTAAGCGGTCCCTATTTATCTACTTGCACCCGAGGGTGCTTTCAAACTGGTAGGTTGGCAGGTGCTGGGACCGAACGATGGGAGCGCACCCCGCCGTGGGGATTCGAACCGCCAACCTTTCGATCGGCAAGTCCTAGGCGCTGAGGCTTTAACCCACAGCGCCACCCACGTCCCCTCAGAATAGAGTGGTACTATTACTTCCCTTGATCTGTACACTATACTTCTGTTGATGCAGTCTAGAATAGCATTAGCTTTTTTGCTGCTGCACCACACTGTTGACTCGTGTTAAGCTTGTGGTCCACCAAGACCCCTAGATCCTTTTCACATGTACTGCTAGTAAGCCAGGTGTCCCCCATCCTATATTTGTGCATCTGGTTCATTCTGCCTAAATGCAGAACCTTACATTTGTACCTATTGAAATTCATTTTGTTAGCCTCTCCAATCTGTTAAGGTCATTTTTAATTCTGATTCTGTCTGTTCTTAAACCAAGGCATGCTTTCCCATAGCAGTGGGGGACTCAATTTCCAAATGGAACACACTCAACAGGAAGTGAAACATTCTTATTCCAAGGCAAAGTTCACAAACCAAAACACCTATTTCCTGGTTTGCAGCATTCTTAATCCAAGTTGTTCATAAGCTAAGCTGTTCTTAAACCAAGGCACCACTGTATATATATATATAAAGGTTATCTTGATTTCTTATTCTTCCGGTAAGTTTTGCCATTTCTGCATGTTCCATGAGTTATTGTATCCATTCTTCCTTTGCTGGGACTTCTGCCTTTTTCCACAAAGGTTAGAGTCTTGCCTGTTCCTAGTTTTGCCTTTGGCCAAACCAAGGAATGTTTGGCTCTGAAAGAATGTGAACTTTGGGGTGTAAAACATCCCCACCTTTTAGGGTCCCTACACATGAGCAGTCCCGCCACCGCATGAGTTTCAAGTTGCATTTGCATGTTGCTGTACATACCAGAGAGGGGATGCCTTATGCCCAATGTACATTTCCTATTTAGTTTCCCCATGTCTGCAACACACACACCCTGAACACCTATCCATGAACCTGTCGTCTGCTCAAATATGCAGCTTAACTGCCAAGTGAATGTGGCTTATGTTTATAAATTAGACATGAGCTGGTTTGAGGAGGAAAGCATCAGGCAGGAGAATTTCTCAAGAAACTTCAGGATAGATGTGGATTGTGGTTAAGGTGAGCTGCAGAGAATCCGAAGTTAACAGTAACACAGCCGTCAAGGCATGTTCCAATAGTTTGCTGCTGGGATAAGATGCCAAACATTGCTGACTCTGCCAACAGGAAAAGAGTCCCAGTGAGGTGGGGGGGGGGGAATCCTAAATTAGCAGCCTGATTCTGGTTTGTTGTTGTTGTTTAGTCATTTAGTCGTGTCCGACTCTTCGTGACCCCATGGACCAGAGCACGCCAGGCACTCCTGTCTTCCACTGCCTCCCGCAGTTTGGTCAAACTCATGCTGGTAGCTTCATGAACACTATCCAACCATCTCGTCCTCTGTCGTCCCCTTCTCCTTGTGCCCGCCATCTTTCCCAACATCAGGGTCTTTTCTAGGGAGTCTTCTCATGAGGTGGCCAAAGTCTTGGAGCCTCAGCTTCAGGATCTGTCCTTCCAGTGAGAACTCAGGGCTGATTTCCTTCAGAATGGATAGGTTTGATCTTCTTGCAGTCCATGGGACTCTCAAGAGTCTCCTCCAGCACCATAATTCAAAAGCATCAATTCTTTGGCGATCAGCCTTCTTTATGGTCCAGCTCTCACTTCCATACATCACTACTGGGAAAACCATAGCTTTAACTATATGGACCTTTGTTGGCAAGGTGATGTCTCTACTTTTTAAGATGCTGTCTAGGTTTGTCATTGCTTTTCTCCCAAGAAGCAGGCGTCTTTTAATTTCGTGGCTGCTGTCACCATCTGCAGTGATCCTGGAGCCCAAGAAAGTAAAATCTCTCACTGCCTCCATTTCTTCCCCTTCTATTTGCCAGGAGGCCCAGTGGCCATGATCTTCGTTTTTTTGATGTTGAGCTTCAGACCATATTTTGCGCTCTCCTCTTTCACCCTCATTAAGAGGTTCTTTAATTCTTCCTCACTTTCTGATATCAAGGTTGTGTCATCTTGTGTCAAGGTTGTGATTCTGGTTACAAAACTTAAAATCCCCAGGCGAACAAATAATCCAAAAATGCTCAAGAGAGGCTGGTGAAGGGTATGGCTGGGGAGAGGGTGTGGCTTGGAGAGACTCTCAGGGGCCGGACAAAGTGTCCCAGGGGCCAGACATTTGGACCTCAGGCCTGAGATTCCCTAACCCTGATATAAAATATTTAGTCTGCCAGGAGTTGAGTGAAGCCAAATTCATTCTATGCCACACAGCATCACCTCCTCAGAAGCATTTGTGACATCAGATCACTGCCAGACAATAATATTTTATTGATAGTTTCTTAACCCAGAGGCAAACAACCTAAGCATCGCACTTCTTAGAATATTCTTGCAGTCTAATCCGTTTTAGTTCTCTAATCTCCCTGCATATGTGTGTTTTATGTTTATATGTGTATTGCAAACCCAAGTTCAAAAAGAGAGAGAGAGAAATGTTGTAATCTTGCCCACCAGTAGAGTTTTCGAAGAACGGGGTTTTCCTCCCTGATTAGTAAACCACCATTAGTTTGTGGTTTCATTCTGTCCGGATGTGCTTTGCACCACCGTTAGCACAACTTGATTGCAATCTAGGCAGGCGTTTTTAGGAAACTCAGGCTGCCACCGCCACACAGACTGCTTTTTGGCAGAGAGGCACAACTCTGAGAGTGTTTGAAGGCAGGCAGAGAGAATGAAGAATTACTGGATCCTCTGTGGAACCCTGGCCATCTTTTGGGGAGCTGTTCTTGGAACAGGTATGCAACATTTGCCCATTGAAAGCAACTCAGATACTGTACAATGTTTTAAGCAAAGAAAATGCTTTTGTGCCAGGAAGAATTGTCACTATTTTAATTGGCTCTAAAATTCTTACCTAGAAGGTGGTACTGTATCTAGATTGAAAATTTTAAAAGTAAAAAGGATGCTTATTTTATCCTACTGGGCTGCTCTGAAATCAGGGTTATGGTAATCTATAATGTGCATTAGATATACTTACAATGTCAGAGCCGTGTTTTGAAATGGGGATCACCAGGTGTTCAGTAATGCTAAAGTATCCATTTTTTCTGTTTTTGGGGTTGGCTTGAGTGATCCCTCCGAACCAGAAGTGCATTGCTTTCTATAATTCTCCCCTGGTCTCCTCGCTCGCCCAAATAGGACTAATTTAGCCAGCTAGCCCTGGTGATCATCTAATGTTTATTGGATGGATTTCCCCCCTAAATTGATTTTTGAATTCTGAATTTATTGTTATTCACGTTTTATACTGTATTTTATGCTGTTTTTTTATTGCAGCAACTAAGTGTTTTAAATTTGTTGTCAGCCACCCTGAGCCCGGTTTTCTGAACCAGGAAGGGCGGGGTATAAATAAAAATGTATTATTATTATTATTATTATTATTATTATTATTAGAATCTTAATATGTCTTGGAGTTTGCATGCATTCCTGCCAATGTCCCTACCGACCAGTGGTGTAGCGTGGGGGGTGCAGGGGGGGCTGGCCACACCGGGCGCAACATCTGGGGTTAGGGCAAATCCACAGGTTAGGGGGCGCAAATCCACGGGTTAGGGGGCGCAAATCCACGGGTTAGGGGGCGCAAATTACTTGCCTTGCCCCGGGTGCTGACAACCCACACTACGCCACTGCTACCGACTCTGCTCTAATGGTTGTAGTTGTTGTAGTTGATGATGATGATGATGGCAGCTTCATGGTAGAAACCACTTATTAAATTCAGAAAGTAAGATGGAATTAAGGGGTTAAGATATGGGAAAGGGAAGGAATACAGACTGACATATAAAAGAAAAAGAGTCCAGCATGGCCCTAGGGGTGACCCATAGTAATGTAGGAAGAAGAGGAAGTGTAGTGGAGAGGATTGTGGCCAGTGCAGGATTGCTACTTTTTTCTGGCAGGGCTCCTGTGCTGTTTATGCTGGACGACAGCAGTGGAGGGAGGCTGGGGCTGATTGCGACTGGGTAGGGCAAAAGGCAGGGACCCCAAGCAGTGGGTGGCAAAAGTAGTGCAGTGGCAAAGTCAAACGTTCAGCTTCTCTTCATGACAGTTGCAGCCATGCCCCCTCACAGCAGCGCCCCTTTTATTATAATACCACAATTGTATAATTGTGCAATAATAAAAGTAGGTAATGCATTGCAACAATTAATGCCCAGGGGAGCTGTGTCACCAGCTGGAATAAAAAAATATTGGACCAGTGTTCTGATCCAGCGTAAATCAGCTTCATAAATTCAGATATTGATCAGATAGTCCAGGCTTTCCCAACCTGGTGCTCCCCAGAAGCCCTAACCAGCCCAAGCCTATAACCCAGGGATGAACCTGAGATACGTAGACCTCCAAGTCTGAAAATGCCACGTTGAAGCCTTGGGTTTCAACTTCCTCCCTAGCAGCCTAAATTTGGCTTCCAGGATCTTTCAGCTGCAAATCTCAGTATGACTCAGTAACCCACCCTTTGCATCTCATTATTACGTTGGCGTCGTTTTTTTTCGGGATGTGCATGTGATAAAATAGGTGCGCCCTCAACACCTGGCAGATCGGCACCAGAGAATGTTCTCGTTTTTCTTCCTCAGTCTAAAAAACCTTGTGTTTTATGGGCAGCTTATTATGGGCTGGATGAAGATGAAGAGAAGGTCCTGGTTGATAACAAGTGCCAGTGTGTGAAGGTGACATCGAAATTCGTCCCTTCCAAAGACAACCCACAAGAGGAAGTACTAGAGAGAAACATCCGCATCATGTAAGTGGTACTTCGTATAAAGTTTCTCCTTTTCCTGAGGCATATACACAACTGTCCAAGCCATAACCACCGAATGGGGCAGAATAAATGCTGCATAGCCTTTCTATAATTTGGGGAGCAGGATTATCTCACTCTTCATGCAGCTTCTGTGGTGAAGACGGAAGAGCAAGCAGGACACCAATACTGTACAGCCTTCTAGGATCTCCCTCTTCCGCCACCTCAATCACTTCGTCAGTTTCCCAGTTAAGTCTTTTTGCAATGAAAACCATGAAAAATCTTGTGGCACCAACAGATTTGTGATGGGTGAACTCCCAGGATGCCACAAGACTCTCTGGTGGTTCCTCACATCCAATCCTCCTTTGACTCTGAGAACATCCTGGAAGACCCTCTCACTACACATTCAACTACAGGCATCTCCCCATTGCTGGGTACCACACATATACATGAAATTGTGTATAGTGGGGAACACAATCTTTAAACCCTATGAACACCCTCCTTTCTCAAGCTCCAACTCTCCACAGGCCTCAGAGGCCAGTGCAAAGGCTCCTGGAATTGCTAGCCATTAGCCAACTCTTTCCCCACCATTTTTGCAGTTTTTCCGCACCCCTTTTGCCATTTAAACAGATTTATTTATTTCCCGGCACCACACTGTAATGCGTAAGTGGAGAAATGCCTGTACTGCACTTGACCTCTGCTATCGGCAGCCATAAAACCCTTCCAATGGCTGGACAACATCATACAGATGACCAAGCTGCTGCAGAGTGAGAGAGCTCATTCATCTGCACGGTCTCACTGATTGTTGTTGTTGTTGTTTAGTCATTTAGTCGTGTCCGACTCTTCGTGACCCCATGGACCAGAGCACGCCAGGCACTCCTGTCTTCCACAGCCTCCCGCAGTTTGGTCAAACTCATGCTGGTAGCTTCGAGAACACTGTCCAACCATCTCGTCCTCTGTCATCCCCTTCTCCTTGTGCCCTCCATCTTTCCCAACATCAGGGAGTCTTCTCTTCTCATGAGGTAGCCAAAGTATTGGAGCCTCAGCTTCAGGATCTGTCCTTCCAGTGAGCACTCAGGGCTGATTTCCTTAAGAATGGATGGGTTGATCTTCTTGCAGTCCATGGGACTCTCAAGATTCTCCTCCAACACCATAATTCAAAAGCATCAATTCTTCGGCGATCAGCCTTCTTTATGGTCCAGCTCTCACTTCCATACATCACTACTGGGAAAACCATGGCTTTAAGCAGTGTTTCCCAACCTTGGGCCTCCAGCTGTTTTTGAACTACAATTCCCATCATCCCTGACCACTGGTCTTGCTAGCTAGGGATGATGGGAGTTGTAGTCCAAAAACAGCTGGAGGCCCAAGGTTGGGAAACACTGGCTTTAAGTATATGGACCTTTGTTGGCAAGGTGATGTCTCTGCTTTTTAAGATGCTGTCTAGGTTTGTCATTGCTTTTCTCCCAAGAAGCAGGCGTCTTTTAATTTTGTGACTGCAGTCACCATCTGCAGTATCAGGGCTCACTGATGCGCTCACTGAGCATCAGGGCTCACTGACGCGCCTTGCCAAATCAAAATTGTGATTTCCTCCCTCAACACAGCAGAGCTTACGCTGGTGCAGTGGCAATCCCACGAAGCTGCCACAGCCCAGCAGGTGTGAGGACTGGCCTGAAGGAAGTGGTTCATTTTGTTTACACACACACACACACACACACACACACACACTGCAGGTCGCGTTTGACAGAGGTGTGGTGTTGCCCACCTGTCAATCACCTGTTGACCCATTTTCAGTAGCACAGTTTGAAAGTAAACTGCATGCAGGCAAGAATCCTGTATGCGGTGCTTTGCAGCCCCAACGATCAGGTAATTGTCAGGACTTCAAAGCACCGCATGCAGCTATGTGCAGAGAGCCATACATGGCGCTGTGCATTGGGCTTTGCCGGTCCACTGATCAGCTGTGCCTGCTAATCCTTTTTGTCCCAGCTATGCCTGTACCTGCCTCATGGCTGGTGTTATATATGGTGTCAGGTGGACAGCAGGTGGACATGGCTTTGCCAGAATGAACTTGCAGGTCAAACAGGGAGGCCTAGCCTAGAGGTTCCCCACCACTGATCTATGGAATGGCCTAGAGGAATTGGTTCATCCAGGATTTGGTCCAGAGGAACTGGTTTGGCAGGGAACTCGGGCACTAGTGACTATTAAAGCAGCAAAATTCTACGCATCAGCATGTATTTCTAAGAACCTCGTGGATAAATCTAACTTACCACACCAGTAGTCAGTGATCCATTCTAGATTGAATGTGCCACAATGTGGGCAGACACTTATAATAAATAATAATAATAAATTTTATTTATATCCCGCCATCCCCAGCCGAAGCCGGGCTCAGGGCGGCTAACAACACTTCCTAGCTCTTTGCCGCTCTGTGAATTCCAAAAATCTTTCTGCTGGCTTGCAAACTTCAAAATTGTTTGATTGCAACATAGTGGCAGATCTGCAATAGTAATAATGAAGAATGATTGATAGTGACCCTGGTGCTGCTCAGACTCATGTCCACCACTCGGCTTGTATAGGCGTCACTCCTCTGCCAGCCAGTTGGTTTTCACAGGAGTTGGCATGCTGGCACTGTGACTCCTGCTAGTGTTTTTATCTTGCTGTGGCAATAAGGGGAGAGAACTTGTCGGTTCAGAGCAATGGTGGTTGTGTTTCCATTCCTGCATTTCATTTCAACAATCTGGCTTGTATGTAACTTTCTCTTCCTCTTTGCCTTCTCCAGAGTTCCCCTGATGACCAGAGAGAACATCTCTGACCCCTCCTCGCCAGTGAGAACCAGATTTGTCTACAACTTCTCCAAGCTGTAAGGGCTTCCCTTGATTGCACTTATCTCAATAAGCTTAAGTAGCGCTAAAAGAGTTGAGGCCACTGTAAAGTGTATTATATTGCAACAAAGCATATAACTGAGATGGCACCAACTGTGCCTTGCGCCAACTCAGCTATATTGGCTTTGGGTCATATCCAGAATGTAGCACTAAGTAGCCCTTTCCATCAGCCCTGGACACACCTCCCACACTTGCCTTGGGCAGAAAGGGCAGTATCCAGCAATGCAGGGTTTCCCAAACTTGGATTTCCAGCTGTTTTCAGACTAAAATTCCCATCATCCCTGACCAGTGATCCTGTTAGCTAGGGATGATGGGAGTTGTAGTCCAAAAACTCCCAACCGACTTCACTGGCTACCAATTTGTTTCTGGGTCCAATTCAAAGTGCTGGTTTTGACCTATAAAGCCTCAAACGGCTCAGGATCGCAGTACCTCAAGGACCACCTCTTTCCATATGAACCTCACCTTCTGAGGCCCTCCTTCGTGTGCCTCCTCCTCAAGAGGTCCGGAGGGTGGCAACACGAGAACGGGGCCTTCTCTGCAGTGGCTCCCCATCTGTGGAATGCTCTCCCCAGGGAAGTTCGCCTGGTGCCTTCATTATACACCTTTAGGCGCCAGGCAAAAACGTTCCTTTTTAACCAGGCCTTTGGTTGATCCGATTTACAGCCTATGCCTTTTTAAAATGTATTTTTGGGAGGCGGGGGGCTATTGGGTTGCTGTTTTTATTTTTATTATGTATTTTGTGGTTTTATATCTTTTATTCTGTGAACTGCCCTGAAATCCCCAAGTATAGGGTGGTATATAAATCTAATCAGCCAGTCAATAAAAACATCTGGAGATGTTGGGGGAGCCCTGAACTAATGCGTCCCATGGGCACAAGGATTTATACTTGCACAACAGAACTTCCCCCACCTCCTAAGCATGTTCTAGCGCAACAGTTCTCAACCTCTGGGTCCCCAGATGTTGTTGGACTACAACTCCCACCATCCCTGAGCTCTGGCCTTGCTAGCTAGGGGTGATGGGAGTTGTAGTCCAACAACATCTGGGGACCCACAGGTTGAAAAAGGCTGTCCCCCCTTACCTACCCTCCAAAGCAGATTTGAGCAGCGTGCATGGGCGTGTCTGCTCTGGCAGGGGTTGATGGGAGTTGTAGTCCAAGAACAACTGGAAGGCAGAGCATTGGCTATTCCTCCTGTGGAATCTCTTTGTATGGATCTTGTTATGTACTGAGTTGAATAGGATCCAAAATGCAGCAGTCTGATTGGTCCTAGAACAATAGGATTCAGAATGCAGTAGTCTGATTGGTCCTAGAACAATGCAGCAGTATGATTGGTCTGCAGGAGCCACCCAATCCAGCTCCAGATGGAAGTGAATCCACAACCTGATTGGCCTACAGGAGAATTCCGGAATTAGCCAATCACGTGCAGCCCATTGTGTAAATAATGTATATAAAGCAGATACTTTGGGGAAACTTCCATTCCTCCTCACCACTATGAGCTGAATAAAGGGCATGAAATCCACTCTCGACTATATTTCAGATCTGTTGGCTAACTTTTCTCCTCCTCTGCCACCTGTCTTCTAGCTGTGATAAATGTGCTGCAGCAGACGGCGAGGCCACGAACGACCACCCTGCGCCTGGGGAGAGCAGTATGTGCAACGACCCCGACCAACCCTGCTACACCTACGACAGAAATAAGTGCTACACAGCCTCTTGCCTGTTCTCGAACGGTGGGAAGACGGAGGTCATCCAGACAGCCTTGACTCCTGAATCCTGCTATGCTGATTAGATCATAGAGCTGAATCATCGTGCAGAGCATGGTGGGGCAGATCTACGCCACCACAGAGACTTATCTCGGCTTCATAGTACCAGTTACAGCTTCCCTCAAGGGATCCTGGGAACTGTAGTTCGGTGAGGGTTCACCGTTAGGGAACCTTTGGGGTGGAGAAAATCGATACGGTTCTCACCTAAAGGCAAACTCCCCCAATTCACATTTTCCATAACGTGAACCAAAAAAAGCTCCCCTTCAGAATTTGCGTGTCTCCAAATCACGCGGTGCAGTTCACCAGACAAATGACGCGTGCAGAAATGCACGGCCTGTGCTAAAATCTACATATAAATGTATGTTTTAGTGAAAATAGCATACAAAATTATGCTTGGGAAATTGCTTTTGAGAAACTGGGTTGAAAAAAAACTGGATTAAAAGAAAACACGTACAGTTGGAGGGGAGGACTTCACTCAGAAATCCAATTTGCTTTATGAGGATTCTTTTTTAAAATTGCACACTAGTGTAGAATTGTGCAGAAATGAACTTCAGATTGCAAAAATGAGAATTGGAGAAAACAAAAATGGACACATTTGTCCATCCCTAGGGATTCCGAATGCCCCTCACTGAAGTACAGGTCTCTTCTTGGTTGAGGGAAATAACCGTATGAAGTCTGTGGTGTAGAGACATACCCACATTGCCCTGCATGCTTGAAATTAAAAATATGTCTTTATCAGCAGAATGATATCCTACTATTTCTTCCCCATAATTTCTTGCAGTTTATAGAATCCCCCCCCATCTGCAGCCCCTACATGTTGTCACAATAAATATTGCCTTTCATTATCTCCACAGTCATTTTATTGGGACTAAACGCTACCAGTTCCACATTGTGCGTTCGACATCTCTGACAGGCATAAAGCTAGCATAATTCCTTGGAAGTACTGGAGCTACATCAAATTACTTCTGGGGCACAGCCGGGAGGGAGTGTGGTATAGTAGTTAGGGTGCTGGACAAGTGGAATTACTACGTTCCCTTATTGGAGGTCAATAATAACAAGGTAATAAACCAATAAACATTTATTTTGCATGTGCAAAGTGGCAACCCCAATGCTGAGGTCGCTACAAAGGATTCAAACTGCAATACAAGCATAGCTATAGCAATGTAAATTAATCAAAACCACCCCTTCGTTACAGCCTTAAAGCATTTTGGGGACACTAAGCAACTAGCAGTTTACACCTTTTGACATGCTCAATCAGTCCTCTTTGTTGCAGCTAAACTGTTTTGCACCATGTAAAAGTTAAAGGTAAAGGACCCCTGATAGTTGAGTCCAGTCACAGACGACTCTGTGGTTGCGGCGCTGATCTCACTTTACAGGCCAAGGGAGCCGACGTTTGTCCACAGAAAGTTTTTCTGGGTCATGTGGCCAGCATGAATAAACCGCTTCTGGTGCAATGGGACACTGTGACAAAAAGTGTGCACGGAAGTGCATGGAAACACCATTTACCGTCCCGCCGGAGCGATACCTACCGTATTTTTTGCTCTATAATATGCACCAGACCACAAGACGCACCTAGTTTTTGGAGGAGGAAAACAAGAAAAAAAATATTCTGAATCTCAGAAGCCAGAACAGCAAGAGGGATCGCTGCGCAGTGAAAGCAGCAATCCCTCTTGCTGTTCTAGCTTCTGGGATAGCTGCACAGCCTGCATTCTCTCCATAAGACGCACACACATTTCCCCTTACTTTTTAGGAGGGAAAAAGTGAGTCTTATAGAGCAAAAAATACGGTATTTACTTGCACTTTGACGTGCTTTCGAACTGATAGGTTGGCAGGAGCAGGGACTGAGCAACGGGAGCTCACCCTGTCGCGGGGATTCGAACTGCCGACCTTTTGATCGGCAAGCCAAAGATGCTTTAGACCACAGCACCACCTGCGTCCCTTTTGCACCATGAGTTATACATATTCACTTTGAAGCTGGGAGGCCAGGATTCAAATCCCCTCTCGGCCATGAAGCTCACCTGGTGATTTTGGAGCAGTCGTTGCTTAGCCTAACCTACCTCACAGGGTTATTGTGAGGATGAAATGAAAAAAGGGAGTACTGAGCCGGTTCCGGTCGCGACCTGGGAGGGAGCGCGGAGAACCAGCTCCTGGTTTTCTGGGCATTGCGGAGGTCTGGGGAGTCGCTAAGGCACAGCGAACCTGGAAAATTCTAAGGGGGGTACCCTTGGAAGATAGGCCCCCAGCGGCGTGGAAGCGGTCGGGTTACCTCTCCGCACCGACGGGGCGTGAAGACGGAGACCACCAGCGCAATTGGGGAAAGTTCCGACTCCGCAGCGTGATGCCTCGAGCTCCAGCCAGGAGAGTCGACGGGCTTCCTAAAAGAAAGAAAGGCAGCCGCAGTGTATGGTAGCGTCCAAACGGAACGTGTTTTTGCTGGAAGCATAAAATTGATAGCGGAGCTGCGTGCCGCCCGGTACTATTCAGAAGTGTGTATGGGAGTTCACTTGGTGATGGAACTAAGATGGCGCAGTTGGAAGTCGGCGGTGTGAGGAGGCTTTTCTGCAAAGTCTGTCTGAGTGAGTGAACTTTAAGTTGTGAAAGGCGAAGTGAGGCTTATTTGCCTAAAAGAGACCTTAAGAGTAACAAAATTATAAAATAATATAGACGCTAAAGACGTTGGGAGCATTAATGGATAATAGAGAGGGATAGAGAGTGACTAAGCAGTGGGGGGGGGGGTAACAGCCAGCTCCTCTGTGTTGCCTACACTGCTCTTAGTCGCTGTATGTTTTTTGGATTTCTAGTCGCGGTATGCTTTTTGGTTTTTAAACTGTGCAAACTGTTTTCCTTTTTTATATTTTTTATATTTCCCGTAACGGATTTAAGGAACCTTTGGGTGACTTTTGGCTGCCCCTTAAAGGAATATAGTTGGTTGAGAACTTTGAGGAGCGAACGGATGAATTCAGGAGAGTGACGGTGGTAGGAGACACGGAGGAAGCCTTTGCTGCCCCTCCTTCTCCTTTTCTCTTCTTTGCTCCCTTCCCCTCCCTGTCTGGAGGCTTCCCTACTGGTGTTTGGACATGGACCAGAAAGTGGACGTGGACCAGAAAGTGGAGAATATATCTTTAAGGCTTGTCTGTTGACAGAAAGCTTCGCCACCTTGGGGTTTAAGGCCAGGGGGGGAAAAGTGGATCCGCGAGAAGGATTTGAAAGACAACGCTGGGGCTCAAGGTGAAGCCACCCTGCCCCACGTCGCTCCACATCGGCCCCCTGCGATACCCCTCTCCGAATTTGGACGTTGGAACCTTGGTAGAGACTTTGACATAAGACCCTGCTCCGAGGGGGACTGGGGATTTGCGTTTGGGCACAATCCCGAAGAGTCTGCCCACAACTAGATGGTGAAAATTGCTTATCTTTGCTCTGTTTTTCCGTTCTATCTCTTCTTTGTTGTCGCCTAAAATTGTTGATTTTTGTTGAACCTTTAGGGAGGGACCTAAGGGGGGAGAAGGTAGGGGAGGGAGGGGAGAGAAACAGGGAAGGGAAACCGGGAATGGCGGGGAAGGATGGGAAGGATGGGAAGAAGGGGGGTGGGACTCCGGGGGAGAGGAAATGGTCCCGACAGGAAGAAATTAAAGATTTAGACAGTTTGTGGGCGAGAATAAAGGAGGAGTTCAAACAAAATATATTATGTATGGAAAATAAGCTAGGAGAGATAGAAGAAAGAATTGATAAAAGGATAGAAGGAGCAGTTGGGGAACTCTCGGCCAAAATACAAGACCTCTCTGTTAAGTCCAAAATAATTGAAGAATCTAATAAGAAATTACAGAAAGAGATAAGGGACCAAAGGAAAGAGACAACAAAGATGAAAGAGGAGTTAAGAGAATTAAGCAGCTCTCAGGACAGGATCTGGGACAATCTAGCCATGGCGGATATGCGACAAAGGCAGTTGCATCTGAAATTCAGGGGAGTAGCAGAGGAAAAAAACGAAGATATAAGAGGAAAAATGATTAGTGAACTCTCTAAATGGCTAGATATAAGAGAGGAAGAATTGGCCCTCTCTATAGAGAATGTTTTTAGGATGTCAAGACCTAGACAATTCAGAACTAGCAAATTCCTGGGAGACTGTTTGGTAATCTTTAACTCAGCGGAAATGAAAAACCTAATCTTAAGGAAGAGCTACCATAATAGACTAAGAATTGATGGAAGACCTATTATTATTTACAAAGAAATTCCGGTTAGGTTATTACGTAAAAGAGAGGGATATAAACAGGTGGTAGCTGCTTTGAAGAGGAATGGGATACACTTTAGATGGGAGTTCCCGGAAGGGATTACTTTCCATTACAAAGAAAAGAAATTCAGATTGATGGATACACAGGAGGCTGAAAAGTTTTTGAGAAGGTACGAGAAAGATCTGGGAAGACTAGAGAACAGGCCTGGGAGCGGGGAGGGGGGGAGGGGGCGGCGGGGGGGGAGGGAGGGGGGGCGAGGAGGGGAGGAGAGGTCGGAGGGATCAGACGAGGAAGATGAGGAGGCCGTGGTGGGAGCTGGGACGGCAGAGGAGGGGGAGCCCCTTGGTAATAGAGGCAGTAGAGTCTAGCCCGAGACTTCGGTCAGGGAAACCGTAACAGATAAAGGAAAACAATAACACACAAACTAAATTTTTTATCCTGGAATGTGAATGGGTTGAATGAGAAAGTTAAAAGGAATAAAATTGAGAGAGTACTGAAAAACAAAAATTATGATGTAATTTGCTTCCAGGAAACACATATTGCGAAAAAACATAAACATATCTTGATGAATAAAAAGCTAGGAGTAGAGTTTATAAACTCGGAGACAAATAAAAAAAAAGGGGTAGTGATATATGTAAGAGAGAAGTGGGATCCCATACAAATTTGTAAAGATGAAGAAGGAAGAATTTTAGGGGTTCAGCTAAACTTCCGGGGGGAAAAAATCAATGTTGTGACGGTATACGCCCCGAATAAAAACAAAGCAGAGTTTTTCGAGAAACTTGAAAGTATCTTACTAGAACTAGAAACGCATAAATTAATCCTGCTCGGGGACCTGAATGGGGTCCCAGTGCCGGAATTGGATAGGAGCGAAAAGAGAGGGAAGTTAAATAGAGGTAAATTGCCGAAATCTTTTAAGGACCTGGAGGAGAACCTCGATTTAGTCGATGTCTGGAGGTACAAAAATCCTATTTCCAAACAATTCACTCACTATTCGGAACCACACCAAAGCTGGGGAAGAATAGACCAAATTTGGATGACGAGAAATCTTATTTTAAGGGTAAAAAGATGCGAAATCTTACCCAGGACACTTTCTGATCATTGTGCGTTGGTTATGGAAATTAAAAGTGGATTTAAGGGACAATATAGGTGGAGGCTAGATGAAAATCTATTGGATATCGATGACGTGAAAGAAAAGGTCAAAGGCGCCTTGAAGGAGTATTTTGATTTGAATCTGAAGGGGGAACCCACCATAGATACGGTATGGGATGCCAGTAAGACGGTTATGAGGGGTATTTTAATTCAACAAAATAATTACAGGAGGAAACTGCGAGAACAAAAGAAAGTAGAAATCCTTACTCAATTGAGAAATTATGAGAGGAAATTGGCCATAAACCCAGCAGATGATGAGACCACTCGTGCTATAAAGGTACTGCAGGCCCAGTATTCAGCAATACTAAACCAAGAATTGGACTGGAGAATTAAATATATGAAGCAGAGGTATTTTGAATCGGCAAATAAAATGGGAAAGTTACTTGCGTGGCAGTTGAGAAAGAGGAAAAAGCAAAATGTGATAAGTAAAATAATAGTAGAAGATAATATTATTGACGATCCAGAAGAAATAGAAAAAGGGTTTGTTCAGTTCTTTGAAAAGTTATATGAAAGAGGAACAGAAGACAGATTAGAAATTGAAAGATACTTGGAGCAGGATAGAGGAAAATACATTTCGGAAGAGGACAGAACACAGTTGAACAAGGAAATTACTGTAAATGAAGTCAAGGAGGCTATTAATAGGATGAAAAATGGTAAGGCCCCCGGGCCGGATGGTCTGTCCTCAAAATATTATAAAATATTAGGAGAACTCCTCGCTCCGGTGCTTAGAGACGTTATTAACAACATCCTCCAGGGAGGGAAAATTCCCGGGTCCTGGAAGGAGGCATATATAACTCTGGTCCCAAAATCAGAAATTGAGAAAACAGATATAAAAAATTACAGGGCAATCTCTCTGCTTAATAACGATTATAAGATCTTTGCCGATATAATGGCAAGCAGACTTAAGAAGCTATTAATGAAACATATACATAAAGATCAAGCGGGATTCCTCCCTAATCGTTATCAGAAAGATAACGTTCGCCATATATTAAATATTATTGAATATCTAGATGTAAGGATAGACACCCCAGCAGCTCTAATCTTTATAGACGCTGAAAAGGCGTTTGACAACGTTTCCTGGGAATTCCTATTACTAGGTTTGGAAAAGGCAGGTATTGTGGGCCCCTACATGAAAGGTATCAAAGCAATATACTCGGAACAACAGGCTATGCTGATCATAAACAACAACCTGACTAAGCCATTTAAAATCGGGAAGGGTACAAGACAGGGTTGTCCTCTGTCCCCCTTGTTATTCATAATGGTTTTGGAAGTTATTGCAAACAGAATAAGAGATGCAGTGAATGTGAAGGGGATCAGAATTGGAAGGAAAGAATTTAAGCTAAAGGCATATGCCGATGACCTAGTCCTTACCCTAGAAGAGCCACTGGACAGCGTATGTAAGATGATAGAACTATTAGAGGAATTCGGCAGACTATCAGGATTTAGACTAAATAGGAAGAAAACAAAAATCTTAACAAAGAATCTGGCCAACGAGGACAAAACCCAATTGGAACAAAGGACCGGTATTAAAATTGTGAATAAGGTAAAATACTTGGGAATTTGGCTATCTCCAAAAAATATAAATTTGGTTGAAGATAATTACGATAAGATTTGGCAAGAAATTAAAAAAGATCTGGATACCTGGCAGAGGCTGAAGCTCTCATGGACGGGGAGGATGGCGGCGATTAAAATGTGCATCCTCCCAAGGTTACTGTTCTTGTTCCAAAATATCCCGATAATTAAGGGTACCACCCGTTTTAGGAGTTGGCAAAAATTGATGACTAAGTTTATTTGGCAGGGGAAGAGAGCCAGGATAAAGTTTAAATACCTGACAGATGCAAAAGAGAGAGGGGGTTTTGCGGTACCGAATATAAGGTTATATCATGAGGCAGCCTGTTTAAGTTGGTTAAAGGATTGGGCCACCCTCAGAAATACTGATTTATTGGATTTGGAGGGTTTTGACATTAGGTTTGGGTGGCACGCTTACCTGTGGCAGGGGAAAGGTGAGGTTCACAGAGGGTTCTCAAGTCACATAATTAGAGGTTCACTACTGGCGGTGTGGAACAGATACAAAAAACTGATTGAAAAAGGGACCCCTTGGTGGCTCTCCCCAGTGGATATTATTAGACTAAAAAAACCAAATATGACGGATGAAAGATGGACCTATGAGGATCTTTTGATTAAGACAGAAGAAGGCTGGAAGATGAAGCCATATGACGAGTTGAAAGACAAGATAAAAGAATGGTTACTCTTTCACCAGATTAATGCACTGTGGGGTGAGCACAAGAAACAGGGGATGAGGGATAAAAAATCAAGATTTCAGGTGGAAATTTTAGAGAGTAATGATAAACACCTCTCTAAATTATATAAACAACTATTGGAATGGGATACAAGAGAGGATTTGGTGAAGGGCGTGATGGTAAAGTGGGATAGAGACCTCGGATATAACATAGATTACAATAAATGGCAGACACTCTGGAGGAAGGGTATGAAATTTACAGCGTGTGCAACCCTCAGAGAAAACCTAGAGAAAATGATGTACCGTTGGTACTTGACCCCAGCAAAGTTAGGAAAGATGTATAAAACTGCTGATAATAGTTGCTGGAGGTGTAAAGATAAGATCGGGACTTTTTTCCACATTTGGTGGACTTGTGAGGCTGTAAAGGAGTTCTGGGGAAAGATTTATGACGAACTGAAAAAAATTTTAAAATATAATTTCCCCAAAAAACCCGAGTTGTTTCTTCTGGGCATGATTGATGAGGAAATAAAAAAATCAGATCAAACCTTTTTCCAATATGCGATAGTCGCGGCGAGGATCTTAATTGCACAAAAATGGAAATCCCCTGACATGCCCACGACTGGAGAGTGGCAAGTGAAACTATATCAATATATAGAATTAGCGAGATTAACACAGAAAATAAGGCAGAATAACACCATGAAACAGAAAGTTGAATGGAAGAATTTTTTAATTTATGTTGAGAACAATATTGGCATTAGTAACACAACAGCAGAAGATAATTAACACCTTCGATGTATAATATTAATGTAAGCTCTACTGCAAAGATTATTTGTTGGTTAAGTAATTCCAAACCAAGTCGAACGGAAGTTTGTCTTTTACTGTTTTTCCTGAGTTTTTTTTTTCTTTTCTTTTCTTATTTCGGAACGTGTTTTTATTTCTGTAACCTGTTTTCCTCTTCTTTTTTCTTTTAGTATTTTCTACCTTTTTAACGGTATGTATACTTGTACGTGACGTGTGATGTGAATTTTTTTTCTAATAAAAATAATAAAAAAAAAGAAAAAAGAAAAAAGGGAGTACTGTGTACTCCACCTTGAGCTCCTTGGCAGTAGTAGACCTTAGCAGTAGTTTCCTGTGGTTACCTAATCACTGTCGTTTCTGCTTTAAAATGCAAAACAGAATTGCAACTGGTTTTCAACAGTATAGCAGGACTGCTGCGTTTTGCCTGCATGTACAGCCTGCTGCATTTTCGCACAAACAAGCAGGCTTGATGCAGCCACGTGGGTTGGGAAGGGTCCGTTCACCTAAAATGCACCATTTCTGGGGTCTTTTCCCCAACTCTCAATCCTTTTCATCACTTTTTAAATTTGTGCTGAAGTGCTTTTGTTATTTAAGCACTATTGTGCAATTAGTAATGCTATCTATCTGTCTGTCTATCTATCATCCATCTATCTATCTATCATCTATCTATCTATCTATCTATCTATCTATCTATCTATCTATCTATCATCTATCTATCTATCTATCTATCTATCATCTATCTATCTATCTATCTATCTATCTATCTATCTATCATCTATCTATCTATCTATCTATCTATCTATCTATCATCTATCTATCTATCTATCTATCTATCTATCATCTATTCTAAAGTGTTCTGAAAGGTTTTGCTGGAAGATTTGGGGGAAGAGGATAATTAAAATATTAGTAAAATGGTAGTAACCTGCCCAATAGGAGGATTCCTTTTTTAAAAAAAAAGATTAATTAGTACGAAAAAAAGATTAATTAGTACGAAAATTTTAAGTGCTGTTGTGAAAACCCTTAAAACAACACCCCACATCTTCTGCCCAGTTCCTTCTTCCCTCCCCAAATCCACTGCCCCCCCCCAGGACCTCTGGCTCCCTGCTATTGAACCTCAATTCCAGTCCCCCCCCCAACCAGCTTACTCACCCCCACACCTCCCTCAACCCACCCAGGCAATCGCTCCAACCACTAGGCTGGCCTACAGTAGACCCACGCTCACTTAGGCCTCCTCTTGATAAGTTCAAGCTTTTATATTAATTCCCCATTGTTGATGTAAAATCTTCTACGGGCTCTTCACACCTCTGAAGTTCATTCCTGGAGCGTCTCAGGTCCCCCATTCTTGGTCCAGCTGCTTCTTCGACAGCCAGCATCTGCTGCAAGAACTGGATCAAAACACACACACTTTGGTTTGTTTGTTTTTTAAAAAGGAGCTCTTCACTATTTTCTGTGGTGCATCTGTCACACCTCTCGACTACAACTCCCATCTGGAAGGGGCTGGTGGGGCTGTAGTCTAAAACCTATGGAGGGCACCAGTTTGCTGAAGGCCACACCAGTGACTGCAATCTAATCCTGTGTTTCTCTAACTTGAGTCTGCAGCTGTTGTTGGACTACAACTCCCATCACCCCTAGCCAAACCGGTGGTTCAGGGGTGATGGGAGCTGTAGTCGAACAACAGCTGGGGACCCATGTTTGAGAAACACCTGCTCTAATCCAATGTGGTATCTCTTCCACCCTTTGAAACACTAAGAGCCATAGGTGCCAACTCCCTGGAGCTCTGAGCACCCACAAAATTCCCCATGAAGGAGCCAGGCACCCACAAATTTTAGCACCAGGGCCGTGCATGCTGCATAGCACCCATGGTCATGGGGCCAAGTTGGCACTCCTGCTAAGTATAGACCAGCAAGTGCCAACGTGTTGCACCCCAGAATACAATTCCCAGCAGAGCCAGCCAGCATGACTAATGGTCAGGGACGGTGGGAACTGGAGTCCATCAACACCTGGAGGCCGCCCTGTTGACTACCCCTGATGTCGACAATACTGAGTTAGATGGACCAAAGGTCTGACTCATGAGGAGACCCTCTTCCTCATAAGGAAGAGCTCTGCTGGACAAAATCTCATCTGTTCCAACATCCTGTGCTTGCAGTATGGAACTAGGTGCTTATGAGAAGCCCTTAAGCAGGAGATGAGCACAATTTTTAAAATTATTATGTATTTTGTGTTTTTCACATTGTAGTTTAAAATAAATAAATAAATAAATAAATAAATAAATAAATAAATAAATAAATAATTTTTTTATATCCTGCCCTCCCTGGCCAAAGTCAGGCTCAGGGCGGCTAACATCGAGTATATACGTAACATTAGTATAAAATCAAACAATAATTAAATTACCTCCTAAAAACAGGTCAAAATCAAATTCTAATTAGAAGGCTTTCCGCAGGGTTAGGGTTGGGAACAGTAAGTGCTCATCGGCCCAAGTGTTTACACTGATCTTATATGGGCCTGTGAGAATTCTGGGAGGCCTCTTTCATATTAGTTCTTATACGAAAAGAAAAGGGGAGTCAGGCTGAGCCCTGGCCAAAGGCCAGGCGGAACAGCTCCATCTTGCAGGCCCTGCGGAAAGATGTCAAATCCCGCAGGGCCCTGGTCTCTTGTGGCAGAGCGTTCCACCAGGCTGGGGCCACAGCCAAAAAGGCCCTGGCCCTGGTCGAGGTGAGCCTAATCTTTCTGAGGCCCGGGATCTCCAAGGTGTTATTATTTGTAGATCATAAGGTCCTCCGTGGGGCGTACCAGGAGATGCAGTCCCGTAGGTACGAGAGGGTCCTAGGCCCTATATGTTGTGAACCGCTCTGAGATCTATGGATGAAGGCCGGCATACGAATTTAATGAACACAATATAAATACTGCTGTCCTGCCTTGGGATTCCCAGTGATTGGTTTTCAGAAGCATTTTCTGGCCCCCCAAAACAATGCCTCAGTATATAGAAAACGAGCAACCAAACTTGTTCTTGATCACTGATAACAAATGTGTGCGTTTAAGCCTTACATCTGGGATCCGGTAGCCTTTTCCTTCAAGGAATTCCTTAAAAGCGTACGTTCCATGAAGCTGCATGATCTCCATATCCTGAAAAGTCATTCAAAACCAAAGCATGTTAAGATGCACATTGAGGGACCATTTCCTTCCTCCCTCCCTTCCCTCACCCCAGCTCTCTTCTTCTTATTCACCCCCTCTGCGTCCCTCCCTTTCCCTCACCCCTCGACTGAGTGCGAACACACACAAATGTATTATCTGAAAGCCAGTGTGGTGTAGTGGTTAAGAGCGGTGGACTCATAATCTAGTGAACCGGGTTCGCGTCTCCGCTCCTCCACATGCAGCTGCTGGGTGATCTTGGGCCAGTCACACTTCTTTGAAGTCTCTCAGCCCCACTCACCTCACAGAGTGTTTGTTGTGGGAGAGGAAGGGAAAGGAGAATGTTAGCCGCTTTGAGACTCCTTCGGGTAGTGATAAAGCGGGATATCAAATCCAAAGTCTTCTTCTTTTTCATCTGTGTTTCCAGGGCCCCCAAAAGTGGAACACTGGCCTGATGGGGCTAAGCATTATGAGCAGGGCTATGCAGTCAGAGCAGGCATGATTCACAACAGCCCCCATCAATGGCATTAAGTGCCTCGGATGCCAATATAAGCTACCAAACCAGGTGTAAGGATTTTATCTTGACCTACAAAGCCCTAGGGACGCGGTTGGCACCAGGGCTTGGCCTAGGGCTTGCCGATCAGAAGGTCAGCGGTTTGAATCTCTGTGACAGGTGAGCTCCCGTTGCTCGGTCCCTGCTCCTGCCCACCTAGCAATTCGAAAGCGCGTCAAAGTGCAAGTAGATAAATAGGTACCACTCCGGCGGGAAGGTAAATGGCGTTTCCATGTGCTGCTCTGGTTTGCCAGAAGTGGCTTAGTCATGCTGGCCACATGACCCGGAAGCTGTATGCCGGCTCCCTCAGCCAATAAAGCGAGAAAAGCGCCGCAACCCCAGAGTCGGCCACGACTGGACCTAATGGTCAGGGGTCCCTTTACCTTCACAAAGCCCTAAACAACTTGGACCTACAAGGCACTACATAGCCATTAATCTGTTGAGGTTCTCCTGGAGTGGCTGGAGCCAACAGATGTGCAAATTAAATCCACTAGGGGGAGAGCTTTAACTGCAATTGTTAGGGATTCTGCAGGAGGGGGTAATATGTATCTGAGCACAGATCAGACCAAGATTTACTATTGAGGCGGCTGAGGTGCTGCCGCTGCCTTTGCGTTCACTTTTCTGGTCCCATTTTGCCATCACCATCATCATTTTTACCCACCTTTCATCCTAAGGTATTCATACATCTTGTGACAGCTAACTGTAGGTCCCTGGTTTGACCATGCTTGTCTACATACGTGATATATATCACTCAGCCTGCACACAGAAGTCCTCCTCCGAGGGCCTTCCGGTGGTTTCGTCACTGCGAGAAGCCAAGTTGCAGAGAACCAAGCAGAGGGCCTTCGCGGTAGTGGCACCCGCCCTGTGGAACCCTTCAGATGTCAAAGAGAAGAACAACTGCCACCAGACTTTTAGAAGACATCTGGAGGCAGCCCTGTTTAGGGAAGTTTTTAATGTTTGATGGTTTATTGTGCTTTTAATTCTGTTGGGAGCCGCCCAAAGTGGCTGTGGGAACCCAGTCAGATGGGCGGGGTATAAATATTATTATTATTATTATTATTATTATTATTATTATTATTATTATACATCCCAATGTTACTCTCTCGTTGACTGCATGACTGATGCAGAGTCTTTCACTTGGAAGAAGACACACACACCACACCCCCCAAATATTTGGCAATACCTTTTCACCCAATGCCCTCTTTGAATTCCTGGACCTTCTGTCTTTTGCTTTTGGATCTTCTAAAGGTTTCTGTTTCTTCCAAGTCTTTGGGTCCAGGTACCAGGCACCATACCTGATCTTCTCAGACTTGGATTGACAAGATTCCTGAATGATAATAATATTATAATAATATCATCTCTAACTGCATTTTTTAAAACTTCATCTCAAACGCTGGGTGCCTCCAGACCATGGGTAGGCAAACTAAGGCCTGGGGGCCAGATCCGGCCCAATCGCCTTCTAAATCTGGCCCGCGGATTGTCCGGGAATCAGCGTGTTTTTACATGAGTAGAATGTGTGCTTTTATTTAAAATGCATCTCTGGGTTATTTGTGGGGCATAGGAATTCGTTCATCCCGCTCCAAAAAAAATATAGACTGGCCAACCACACGGTCTGAGGGACAGTGGACCGGCCCCCTGCTGAAAAGGTTTACTGACCCCTGCTGCAGACTGTCACCCTTTTGCAAGAGGGATTAGAGCACTTCAGTTCTATGCAACTGAAGCTGATTAAAGCACTCCTTTGCCCAAGCTCTTTGCTTTATCCCAAAGAACAGCATAGCAAGTACAAGATGACTAAAGCTGGGAACCCGAGGGTTGCTTACCTTGGAATGGCTACCTTGTTGAGCATCGCTTCTCAGGGTGGTCTGGGGAGATGGCATCCCTACATACTTCCGCAACTCAGCAGGCAAATAGTTCAGCTCCTCAACGTGTATCGGGCCAGACAACGGGGGCTTGGTTTTGTAATTTGTATCAAAGAGGCTTATAATGGTGGCTTCATCAAAGTCGTATTTCTCTCCACCCTGGGATGGTAATTCAAATAAAACAGGTATATATTTATATTTATATTATTTATAAATATATTCCAACAAAAGGGATATTTATTAACTCGAGTATATTTTCACCATTCACAATTGCAGATTAGCCTTGGTAAATATCGCTTGATGGGAAAAAATCATTTAATTTTTATCTTTATTTTAGGAATCTTAAGAATCAGTTTTAGGTCTTGACAACATGAAATCTTGTGAGGAGGGCGACTTACAAAAAGCTCGGGCTCCTAGTGATTGAGAACTTAACCAGTCACGGATCAGCTGCACCTAAGGTGGATTCCTGTTTCCCTTAACACTGGGGAAATTCTCTGGGAGAGCCCAAGTATGCTTTGAGAAGGTTTAAATTCCTTACATTATATTAGATAATTTATTTAATTTATATACCGCTTAGCGTGTTAAAAATATCTCTAAGCAGTGTACTGTATAAAAAAACTAAAGCAACAGCAGACAACTTAAAAGACTGCAAATGTTGCATTAATACAAAGTTACTGAATATAAAAATCGGTATCAATTCATTTTCCTTCTGACACAGCCTCCCTCTCAGCCTCTAGGTTCTTGCCAAGGTCCAAACAAACTCTTAGCTCATCCACAAAAGTCTCACGACAAGAAGAGTTGCTGGAAACGGTGGACATCACCCTAATTTGAAACTCTTGACTTGTTTTCTATGGGCAGGCCCAAGGCGGATGTTGCTTCCTCAGCTGCTCCAGTGGCATAGCAAGGTCAGGTGGTACCCGGTGCGGACAATTTCTTGTCACAAACACACCCCACTGAAATCTAGCTGGACTCCCAAGAGACTGCAATTTACTCACAGTATGAAAATATTGGCTGTGATCTACCCATTGTCATTGCCAGGAGTTGTTGAGCTTTTTTAGGGAAGGATTGACCAAAGTTGTTCAGCTTTTTGGGGGGATTACAGGGTTTGGATCATGACCTAATGGAGCTTCTGCCTCTCTCCTTCCCTCCACCCTCCGCTTGTATCGGGAGCACGGGGCTTTCAAAACGAAGGGGGTTGGGCAAAAGGCTGCCAGCAAAGTGGCTCAACTCCCCCCTTGCCCCAACGGTTCGGGGTAGGCAGGAGTCGCAGGCAGGTGGTGCGCCAAATGTCACCCACCCTGTTATGTACTGAAGTTCTTACCCTGGGCCAGCAGGGGGATACTGTAGATAGTTCAGGTCCACATATGCAAATAAGGGATCGAAAGTGACGTTCAGTGATTGGATAGTTACAGAAAATGGTTACTGTTGCGTTCTAGTGGAGCTCTATATAAGCAGGCTGGCTGAACCCTTCAGTTCAGTTCTGGCCTGTGAATAAACAAGAGCTGTTTGAAGAATCGCTGTGTCATCTGATATGTTCACCCACAACTTAACACTGGTGACAAAGGTGGGATGGATGGACAACAGAGCACAGCCAGATACAGCCACTCTCTGAGCGGAGCTGAATCAATGAGCTGAAACACTGAGCAAAATCACTGAACGTCACTTTCGACCCCTTATTTGCATATGTGGACCTGAACTATCTACAGTATCCCCTTGCTGGCCCAGGGTGAGAACTTCAGTACATAACACACCCAGTGATGATACCCGGGGAGGTCCGCACCCACCTTGCTCCACCCCTGAGCTGCCCACAATTGTGTCCCATTCAGATGCCCTCTCCACACCCAGGTCCAGTTACAGCAGGTTTGTTGAGCTTCCCAGGGGCTCCAAAGGGTGGGGAGAGGGGGCCCCTCCATCACAGCTCTTTCCTCCCCCCCCCCCCCGGTCCTCTCTTCCTCCTCCAACTGATATGGCTTGATAAGCGACACCTCTCAGGCTGGAGCTTAAACTGTTCTGGATTTTGCTAAAGTTGAAATGCATCAATTTTGACAGGAAAACATGGCAGGAAATACAAATACAAACACTGCATATTCTGAGAGAAAATACAAATTTGGGAGTAATTTTAAAACCCACAGATTAATGGGAAAATGGAATGAAAAGGTCTGAAAATAACACGGAACAGAAATGGTCAGATTCACTTATCCCCAGTGCAGAATCACAACAGGAAAGAGAGGAAGCTGCCTTATACTGAGTCAGATCATTGGTCCATCTAACTCAATACTGTCTGCACTGACCAGCAGTAGCTCTCCAGGGTATCAGAGAGGGAGGTATTTCTCAGTGTTACCTGGAGATGTTGGGAATTTACTGTACTTTTCGCTCTATAGGACACACCCGACCATAGGACGCACCTTGTTTTAGAGGGGGAGAACAAGAAAAAAAATTCTCCCCCTCTCTGCTCAGCGCCCCTTCAGCGAAGCGGCAGGAGAAATGGAGCCCCTTCCATTTCTCCTCCCGCTTGGCTGAAGGGGTGCTGCACAGCTCTCCCTCTCTGCTGAAGCCAGGAGAGTCTTGCTCTACCAGCTTCAGCAAAAGGAACCCAAAGCCTGCGGAGCGCAGCGGGACCTCCCGCTGTGCTCCGGAGGCTTCAGGCGGCTATCCCTGAAGCCTGGAGAGCGAGAGGGGTCAGTGCGCACCGACCCCTCTCGCTCTCCAGGCTTCAGCGAAAGCAACGAGAAGCCAAGGAGCACAGAGGGAGCGCTCCCTCTGCGCTCTGGAGGCTTCGCGTTGCTATCACTGAAGCCAAGGAGCCTGCATTCGCTCCATAGGACGCACACACATTTCCCCTTAATTTTTGGAGGGGGAAAAGTGCGTCCTATAGAGCAAAAAATACGGTAATTTGGACCTTCTGCAATGTATGCAACGCTCTGCCACAGAGTTACAGACCTTCCAGACAAGTCAGTCCTTGCTTTTGCAGTTCCCCACATGCAACACTGAGACATTAATCTGTAGCATAAAACCTACTTCTGGTCTTTCATCAAGATTGCACGCAGGGATTATTTTGCTCACCAGAGAATCAAACCACCTGCAGAACTCCTTCGCAGCTTGTTTCACATTCTCGCCGACAGGAGGGACATAATTCATCCTGGCCTCTCTTTCTCTTGCTGCTATTTCCGTTTTAGTGAACCACTTGTAAGGGTCCTTGCCTTTGGGGTCCTTGCTGTTGGAAGCAAGTGCAGAATGAAACCATTAACGGTGCAACCCATTCCCCTGTTTGTTTGTTTGTTTGTTTGTTTGTTTGTTTGTTTGTTAAATTTTTGTTAAGTTGTGGGTGAGCATATCAGACGACACAGTGATTCTTCAAACAGCTCTTGTTTATTCAGAGGCCAGAACAGAACTGAGCTGAAGGGTTCAGTCAGCCTGCTTATATAGAGCTCCAGTACACATAATTGTAACAACTTTCTAAAACTATCCAATCACTGAACGTCACTTTCGATCCCTTATTTGCATAACTATCTACAGTATCCCCCTGCTGGTCCAGGGTGAGAACTTCAGTACATAACAATTTTCATTATCCTTTCCTCTCAAGGAGGAAGGGCAAGGCAGCAAACACCAAAGTGGTGAAAGAATACCATTTAAAATAAAATGCAAAACATCTAAAAATATATATTTAAAAGCATAAATGAGTCACATGTCCTCACAGCGTTTTAATTTAGAGAAAAGGCAAGTAAGAAGCGAGATGATAGAAATTTATAAAAAAAAAGAAATATACATCACATGGAGAAAATGGATAGAGAAAAGTTTTTCTCCCTCTCTCATAACACTAAAACTTGTAAAAAAAGGGGGAGGAGGTAAAAGACCTCTGGAGAGTTAAGTCCAGTCAAAGGCACCTATGGGGTTGTGGCGCTCATCTCGCTTCAAGCTGAGGGAGCCGGCGTTTGTCCACCAACAGATTTCCGGGTCATGTGGCCAGCAGGACTAAACCACTTCTGGTGCAATGAGACACTGTGACAAAAACGAGAGTGCACAGAAACGCCGTTTACCTTCCCGCTGGAGTGGTACCTATTTATCTACTTGCACTGGCGTGCTTTCGAACTGCTAAGTTGGCAGGAGCTGAGACAGAGCAACAGGAGCTCACCCCGTCGCGGGGATTTGAACCACCAACCTTCTGATCGGCAAGTGCAAGAGGCTCAGTGGGTTAGACCATAGCGCCACCCATGTCCTTAGAACTAGAACTTTTTACTAGAACTTGTAAACATTCAACAAAGCTGAATGTTGGAAGATTCAAGACAGATAAAAGAAAGGACTTCTCCCCACAGCATATGGTTAAAACTATGAAACCCACTCCCACAGAAGGCAGTGATGGATTAGACAAATTCAGAGGGATATTAATGGCTACTAGCCATAATAATAATAAATTCATTATAATAAATTTTTATTTATACCCTGCCCTTCCCAGTTTAAAAACCGGGCTCAGGCCAGCTAACAGCAAATATAAAACATTGATTAAAATGTGACTTAAAAACAGCATAAAATACAACATAAAATGCAGCATTGATATCAATAAAATCCAAAAATTCAGGGGTCATGGGGTTGTGGAACCTAGTCAGTAGACATCAAACGATCACCAGGGCTAACTGGCCAAGTTGGTGCTACTAGGGCCAGTAAGGAGACCAGGGAAGAATTTAAATGTGGGGTCCCAGAAAGGGTTTCTTCATAGAAGAGAAAAGGGAAAGGGGAATAGAAGATCAGGCTAATTCTTTTTTTAAAAAAATAATCTTTATTGGTTTTTCAGTCACATACTCCACATACACATATTGTATTACATTCTACATTCATATTTGCACTTGAGAGCTGACTTCCCTCCTTCCTTCTTCTGGCTTTTTATATCGCGTCTGACTTTTCCGCATTGTCTTTATCCATTTTGCATATTATTGTTCTTTTTCCATATTTGTCCATTTTTGTCCATAGACTATTTGTACACCTCTATTTACACAAATCTTGTTGTCTATCAATATTCATTTGCAACTACTATTAGTTACATATGTCATGTTATACATTTTGCTTCTTGTTATTTTTATTATCCAGTAAATTTCTTTTTATTTCATATCATGAGGTTTATTTCAGTTCTACTGGTTTCATCATTTCACCTTATCTTTCCAATATACAACATAATTTTTTCCCATGAAAATCAGGCTAATTCAAACTGAAGGCCAGGCGGAATAGCTCTGTCTTACAGGCCCTGCGGAAGGAGTTCAAGTCTATGTTTATGTTCTTCCTCCACAGTCTAAATGACCCCTCCAATACTGAATGCCTGCCTAGAAGCTTCCTCTGCTGGAGAAATGTTTCCTACCAGTTATCACAGCTACCAGTTTTCCCAGTAGTGATGTATGGAAGTGAGAGCTGGACCATAAAGAAGGCTGATCGCCGAAGAATTGATGCTTTTGAATGATGGTGCTGGAGGAGACTCTTGAGAGTCCCGTGGACTGCAAGAAGATCAAACCTATCCATACTGAAGGAAATCAGCCCTGAGTGCTCACTGGAAGGACAGATCCTGAAGCTGAGGCTCCAATACTTTGGCCACCTCATGAGAAGAGAAGACTCCCTGGAAAAGACCCTGATGTTGGGAAAGATGGAGGGCACAAGGAGAAGGGGATAACAGAGGACGAGATGGTTGGAGAGAAGACACCAGCATGAGTTTGACCAAACTGTGGGAGGCAGTGGAAGACAGGAGTGCCTGGCGTGCTCTGGTCCATGGGGTCACGAAGAGTCGGACACGACTAAACAACAACAACAAAATCACAGCTGGAGGGAACAATGCTTCTGAAGACCAGTTGCTGGAAACCAAAGTAGGGGGTAGAGTCCTCAGATCCTTCTTGAGGCTTTTTCACAGGCATCTTGTTGGTCATTGTGAGAAGAGGAAGCTGAAGTAGATGACACCAAACTGGGAGGGGTGGCTAACACCCCAGAGGACAGGATCACACTTCAAAATGACCTTAACAAATTAGAGAACTGGGCCAAAACAAACAAGATGAACTTTAACAGGGAGAAATGTAAAGTATTGCACTTGGGCAAAAAAAAATGAGAGGCACAAATACAAGATGGGTGACACCTGGCTTGAGAGCAGTACATGTGAAAAGGATCTAGGATCTAGGAGTCTTGGTTGACCACAAACTTGACATGAGCCAACAGTGTGACGTGGCAGCTAAAAAAGCCAATGCAATTCTGGGCTGCATCAATAGGAATATAGCATCTAGATCAAGGGAAGTAATAGTGCCACTGTATTCTGCTCTGGTCAGACCTCACCTGGAGTACTGTGTCCAGTTCTGGGCACCACAGTTCAAGAAGGACACTGACAAACTGGAACGTGTCCAGAGGAGGGCAACCAAAATGGTCAAAGGCCTGGAAACGATGCCTTATGAGGAACGGCTAAGGGAGCTGGGCATGTTTAGCCTGGAGAAGAGGAGGTTAAGGGGTGATATGATAGCCATGTTCAAATATATAAAAGGATGTCATATAGAGGAGGGAGAAAGGTTGTTTTCTGCTGCTCCAGAGAAGCGGACACGGAGCAATGGATCCAAACTACAAGAAAGAAGATTCCACCTAAACATTAGGAAGAACTTCCTGACAGTAAGAGCTGTTCGACAGTGGAATTTGCTGCCAAGGAGTGTGGTGGAGTCTCCTTCTTTGGAGGTCTTTAAGCAGAGGCTTGACAACCATATGTCAGGAGTGCTCTGATGGTGTTTCCTGCTTGGCAGGGGGTTGGACTCGATGGCCCTTGTGGTCTCTTCCAACTCTATGATTCTATGATTCTAAGTAGATGGACCATTAGCCTGATCTAGCAGGCTCTTCTTCTCAGAGGCTACCATTTTCTCTTTCTCCCAAGGCTCTGCAAGCACTGGACCCATTGAACCCCACAAGGTGGCATTCAAGAACCAGGCAGTGCATCTGTGGTTCAAGTTTTAAACTGGCCTTCAGACAGACCGAACCAACCTTAAGCACGGCAAAATTACACGCTGCAGCAGATCTATGTGTAAAATGTATGTCCTTGTGCTATAAAGCAGGGTGACTGAGGGCAACTTCAAGGGGGCAGAGGAACCTTCCCTGCACCTCACTGCCCATCGCCCCACAAGTGCTTTGCCCCTGGTGCTTTTCTCTTAATATGGTTCTGAGACCAGAAGTAATCCTTGACAGGCGAACAGACATTTGGGGTGAAACAGTTTCAGGGGAAATCAGGCAGAGGAACATGAACAGAAACATCTGGAGATGCCTTCTACCATGTTGGACCACTGGTCCATATAGCTCCATATTGTCTGCCACATTATGGTTGTCCGTAAAGTGGAAAAAAATAAGCCAGAACATTTATCATAGAAAAAGCCGTGGGATTTCAGCAGGAAGTTGTGGGGTGTGCAGTTACTGGAAATGGACCACCCCCAAAACTTTGGCACATGCAAACTGCCCCTTTGAGGGGGGGAAATAGACAAGGCCTGTGCTGGCCCAGGGGTAACCCTTAAAACGCTGTCCAGGACCGGTCCAGAATCCGAAGGTTCCGCTGGGAGTCAGTCAGGCAGGAAACCAGGCAGGGGCAGGATCTAGCATACAACAATGTTGCTCCCGCAACCTGGGGCAGGGTCCAACAGCCTTTTATCTTTGCCAGGGTAGCGGCTGGTCCTGATCCCCCGGCAACTCACCTCCCTGTTTCGCCCGAAGGCAAGCACTCCTCCTGCGAGTACTCAGGTCTCTCCTTCTCTCAGACCTCAGTCTCTGCAGCTCGGGAGATGTCAGTGGGTTACTAGACCCAGGGGCCGCCTCAGCCTCCCCTGACCCAACTGGTAGTGGAGCAGCTGTAAGTGATGGCCCAGCTGAGGGCAACGAGGTCATCCCTGCATCTGGAGCCAGGGCAGGCTCAGGCCCCTGACTCGGCCCAGCTGGTGCTTGTTGCAGGGGAACATGTGCAGACTGGGACTCTTCAGGATCAGGCCCCAGACTTGGTTCAGATGATGCCTGAGGCAAAGGATCTGGTGCAGACTGAGTCTCCTCTGGTTCCAAGTCCGAGCCCGAATCCCAGGCCATCACAAGGCCTAACCGTGTAAGCTGCTTCATAGTTCCCAGCAGTCCCTCAGGATCTTGTTCCAGGTGTTGGGTGTGCAACAGAGACAGAGTTGACTATCACTTAATATGGGAAGGTTTCAGGTTTTCTTACTTTTATTTGAGCAAGATGGGAAGCAGATGGAGAGTGTAAAGAGACTGCAACTGTTGAATAATAATAGGGTATGTGGGGTTTTTTGTGTTCAGATTAGTTTTGAGTTAGTGTGCATGTGAATGGTTTTGGTGATTGTGTTATTATTATATGTGCGTTTTTGGGTAATATTTGTGAGATTTTCCAGATGATACATATATTGTAATTATGTTCCCTTTTCATAATTGTATCTTGATGCTTTGTGTACAATTTGAATTTGTGGCTCTTATTTATGTTACTTATGTACACTGTTTTCAGATATCTTTGTTGCTTAATCATGTTTCTTATAGCGCAACTATAGGAGGAGGACGACAACGAGTATTGTTTTGTATTGTATGTGGAATTTGTGCATTATTTTTCATTGGGATGTATAAACTGCTTAGATATTTCTCTTGAAATATGAAGTGGTATACAAGATAGATAGATAGATAGATAGATAGATAGATAGATAGATAGATAGATAGATGATAGATGATGATAGATTAGATAGATAGATAGATAGATAGATAGATAGATAGATAGATGATAGATGATGATAGATATAGATAGATGATAGATAGATAGATAGATAGATAGATAGATAGATAGATAGATATAGATAGATAGATGATAGATAGATAGATATAGATAGATATAGATAGATGATAGATAGATATAGATAGATGATAGATAGATAGATGATAGATAGATGATAGATAGATGATAGATAGATAGATAGATGATAGATAGATAGATAGATGATAGATAGATAGATAGATAGATAGATAGATAGATAGATAGATAGAAAGTGGAATCACATATGACTGTCCCAATAGCATCTCGAGAACAAATCATCATGTCATTTAGAGGAGCCGATAATCTGTCAAGTATCACAGGACCCTTGTTTTTTGCTGTCCACATTATTAGGTGCTGCAGCTATGGGATAACGAACCTCATTTAACCAACAAGCTTAAGTCTAATTAATGCATGAAGGAGTTAATACCATAGAGCAAGCTGTCCTGTCAGGCTTTATTCACCTTAGGAGGGACTAGGCAATCAAGCCTTTACTTCCCTTCAGTCAGCCTGAGGAGCTCAGCATGTGAAGGGGCTAAGCTGGTTGCTCCAGCTTAGCCACATGGCTCTCACAAGCCACTCTTGAGTTCCTATCCAATAATTTAGGAACTTTCACCACTAAGAAAAGTAACTAAGCAAAGTTTTACTGTCTATGCAGCTTTTCCTTAATGCTGTAAGGAAAAGCATTTGAAACTAACATTGGAATAAGTTGTAAGTAAACAAATTTCAACCTACCTAACATGTGGTTTTTTTCTATGCTAGGGGAAGAGGGAAGTTTTGGAACTCACAAGGACATATTTTAAAGGACGAACAGCCTATATTTCTGAAATGTACTCAGAGTCGCAAAATGATTTCATGCTCTTTATTCAGCTCATAGTGGTGAGGAGGAATGAATGAAAGTCCCCTCAAAGTATCTGCTTTATATACATTACCGTATTTACACAATGGGCTGCACATGATTGGCTAATTCTGGAATTCTACTGTAAGCCAATCAGGTTGTGGATTCACTTACGGTATATCTGGAGCATGACTGGGTGGTTCCTGCCAACCAATCATACTGCTGCATTGTTCTAGGACCAATCAGACTGCTGCATTCTGAATCCTATTGTTCTAGGACCAATCAGACTGCTGCAATTTGGATCCTATTGTTCTAGGACCAATCAGACTGCTGCAGTTTGGATCCTATTAAACTCAGTACATAACAATTTCCCCGCTTTACTTTGCCACTTATTTCATGATTTTAATTCTCTGCTGGAGTTCTCCCTTGGTGAGAGAACCTGCCCCAAACATGGATCTTGGCATTCAGGGAATTCTGGTTTATATATGGTACCTATATTTTCCTTACCACCACTGCCATCATTATTTCAGTACTGTACCTTCATCCTTTCAGAAGCAACCCATCATGCTCTTTTGCTGTGTGATCCCTGACACTCACCAGCCAATGAGCATGGCCCCTGGTTGCTTCTTTCTTTTGTCCTCCAACTGAGATGGAACTGCAGAGGGAACTGGGTGCTCCTGTGTAATGTCAGCATCAGCAACAACGTCTTCATTCAACGGAAGCATCTCTGGGTCCAGGATGCTTAGAACTTCCTTGAAAAGCTAAGGATAAAACAAGCCAGAAATAATTTCTCAGTGTAAATGGAACAAGAGTGTGGCTTCCTTGGACAACATTTGAGCCAGCCCTCGTTGAGGTATCAGTCGCTGGCTTTTATTTTACTTTTATTTATTTAAAAGCATTCATATACCCCTTAAAATTTGAAGAAGAAAAAAATCGACTGTGATGCATCACATTCATCTTTGTTTATTTGCACAAAATTTGCACACAGGTTGTAGGGTGTTGCTGTTTATTGGGCATTGCCATTCATCATTATGTGAGACAGGATGTACCTGCCCAACCCAATATTTTTCCAAGTTGGCACCCCTTGGGGACAACTCTTTTTAAAAATTAAGGGTAAATTGATTGCACTACAGCACAATCATAGGAAATGTGGAGATCACCATAGGAAATATTTTATAGAAGTTCACCACCAATGCAGGGATGGATGATGAAGGCAGTATGAACCTTACCAGAGTAAGTGGTCAAAGCATGACACTATTATGATGAGTCATGAGAATGAGTCATCAATGCTAGATCACCCTCTCCTGGGACAGATGAGAACAGCAAGCCTGGAGTGTGACCTCCTACATGCGTTGGACCAAGGACATGTGGGGACAGTCCCAGGCATGCTGATAGACCTGGGAACCACGATATGGAAATTAAGTGGCACTTCTAATGCATAGCAATGTTTTCTGCTTGATGAACGGGATGTTTCAGTTTTGTACCTAGTAAGACAATTTGAATGCATTTATCAGTTATTTGACCTTGAAAGGAGTTCACAGATCAGTTTCATTCAATTCTGGGGGACAGATGTCAGAATATACTTCACCATTAAGAAATTGTGAATTATAAACTTGTTTAAAAGAAACCTTCCACTTACCAGCCATAATGTGTACATCAACCTCAGCTTTCCATTGCTCGGATTTTTATGCTACTAAGTCCCAGAATTTAACTGTATCGCTCCTAACTGCAGCTTGTTCCAGTTCTTGGCAAAGTTGTTTGCAACGAAGCACATTTTTACTTTTAGCAAATGTTTGTATTTCCTTCCTTGTTGCACCATTTCTATTACCCATATTTCATTTCCCAATTGTCTAGTCTGCCTTGCTAATGTATTTAGCTCTTGTTTCTTTTTCCTACATTCCTCATCAGGAATCCCTCAGCTGGGAAGGGAGGCTACCCGTTGCCTAACTGAAAGATCCCTGCCCCCTCCTGATTGCACGCAAGCTCTGATAGGCCACGTGAAGCCTCCCTTCAGAGCTGAGAGATCCCTGCCCCGCTCCTGCTTGCACGCAAGTAGGAGTTGGGAGGCTGCTCCGATAGGCAGCATGTCATATGGGGACTTCCAAGCAGCTCCTGAAGCCAGCCAGAGTTAACTGCTCCGGCCTGCTAAGACTGCCACTGCTGCATTTCCCGGGGACATTAGATGAAATCCGGGGATGGAATTTGTCGAGGGACTTATTCGCAAATCCAGGGACTGTCCCTGGGAAACGGGGACATCTGGTAACCCTATCTCAGGAGGAAGGGATTTTGTGCCTCTGGTGATATGTATACCACCTTAGCTGGCTTGGGGTGATGGGGACATATTTTGCAATTCTGCCTCAGGTTGTATATTAGAGGAAACAGCAGAGAACATGTGGATGTCAGGAGACATTTGCACTAAATGCTGTTGAATTTTCATGAGGATTTCTTTTTTTAAATTCACGAACCGATACAGAAATGTGGAAAAGTGAAGATTGGGAAAATGAGAAACCAAAACTGACAGACTCTCCCATCCCTATCTAATGTGAGATCCAGCCACCAGCATGGTGTATAAATTTTGGCCGGGTGTCTTTAAAGAAATAGAATCAATTTGTAGTATGAAAATTGTACAATCCCCTCTCTTAGTTCTGCTGGGGAATATAGATGAATCAAATCAGCAATTATGCAACTGAGGATGCCTAATCTTTATTCTAGTCACTGCGGGCCTTATAATTGCCAAACATTGATGTTCTGCCATGGGACTGTCATTAGACTCTTGGTATATGCAATGGTCATTTGGATATTGTGAATACAGTGGTACCTCGGGTTAAGTACTTAATTCGTTCCGGAGGTCCGTACTTAACCTGAAACTGTTCTTAACCTGAAGCATCACTTTAGCTAATGGGGCCTCCTGCTGCTGCCGCGCCGCCGGAGCCCGATTTCTGTTCTCATCCTGAAGCAAAGTTCTTAACCTGAAGCACTATTTCTGGGTTAGCGGAGTCTGTAACCTGAAGCGTATGTAACCTGAGGTACCACTGTATTATGTTTTTAAAAAGGAAATGTAAGGGATTTTCCAAGGAAATGGTAAACCTTGATTAGATGAGGGTTGGAAAACAGGCTGGCATCTTGATGCCAACAACATTCTACAGTTGGTGCTGCTGGTGGGGAAATATTTGCATCTGTGAGCAGGACCACAAGAAAATCCCATTTGGAAGCTGCCAAAACTTCTTTCTACAAACAAGCGTAGATGTAAGGAAACTTCTCAGAAATGCATTTGAAATAATGGAGCTCATTGTGAGCTGGGCCTATGATCCTTATAAACAAAATTCAGGAAAATGCATGGGAATAATGATGGCCTTTCAGTTTGGACCACAAACTGCGCCAAGGGAGTGATGGCTTCAGTTTCGGGTTGGCTTCAGTCTATTATGAGCGTGGTTCTTTGATGCCCCTTGCAACATCAGTAAAAGTCCCCTGCAGTAAGAACCCTGTTCCCCATTTGTGAGGTGTGAGAGCCCAAAAAGGGAAGTTCCTCTCATTTGTATTTTACAGAGAATCCCCTGTTGGTATCGGGTGAGAGATATAGCAAACAATGTCGGTGGTGCACAGCAGATTATTCCTTTCACTAACTCCCCTTCAGTGGTGAAATCTCAGTGGTAAAGCATCTTGCTTTGCATGCAAATTGTGATTAGATGTTTTCTCATTCGCTGGCCTGTGCCCCTTTGGGTGGAAGGAGGGAATATAACTTTATAATATCATCATCCAAATCAAATAGCAGCAAATTTAAGCTGTGCGATTAAATGTGACCTGTAGCTCTTGCAAACAATCCCACTTCCCCAAAGGACTAGACTGTTTGCAAGAAGGAAAGTGATAGAAAAAGGCAATGGAAAGTATGGATAGTGCCTGCTTCAACACAATGTCATTTAAGTTGCCCACAAACTGATCAGGATGCATGCTCAATAAACAAGTGAGCTGGAAACAGCCTGTGTCACAATTAGGGACAGGCAAATCTGTCAAGTTGATTTTCTCTCAGTTTCTTATTTTTCCAATCTTCTCCACATTTCCACATCTGTCTGCAATTTTTTAAAAAGAGTCCTCATTAATATTTGTCAGCAGCTTGCTTTAAATTTCTCCTAATGTATACAATTTTCTATACGACTTTGCCTAATACTGTATAATGCATTTTTGCATGCCGTTTTAATTACCGGTAATAGACCCACTTTTATGCATGCATTTAGTACAGTGGTACCTCAGGTTAAGAACTTAATTTGTTCTGCAGGTCCATTCTTAACCTGAAACTGTTCTTAACCTGAGGTACTACTTTAGCTAATGGGGCCTCCCACTGCCGCAGCGCGATTTCTGTTCTCCTCATGAAGCAAAGTTCTTAACCCGAGGTACTATTTCTGGGTTAGCGGAGTCTGTAACCTGAAGCGTCTGTAACCCGAAGTACCACTGTACATGCATTTTTCTACACATTGCTTGTTCAGAAAACTGCCTTTAAAAATTAAGAGAAATGGTAGTTTTACCATGTGTTGTGTGAATGTCAAAGTGGGTTTCATTTCATGTGTTGCTGCAGGAAGTGTGCATTAGGTAGATTTGCCTTTCTATGTGACCTGAACCAAAATCCTCCCTCATTCTTCCCAATGTTTAGTGGGAATCTCCTTTCTTGTAACTTGAAGCTATTGGTTCAAGGCCTAACCAGGAGAAAAGAAGTTTCCTCCATCTTCTATGTGACAGCTCTTAAGATATTTGAAGATGGCTAGTGTTAAGTTGGACGGGACGCGGGTGGCGCTGTGGGTAAAAGCCTCAGCACCTAGGGCTTGCCGATCGAAAGGTCGGCGGTTCGAATCCCCGCGGCGGGGTGCGCTCCCATTGCTCGGTCCCAGCGCCTGCCAACCTAGCAGTTCGAAAGCACCCTCGGGTGCAAGTAGATAAATAGGGACCGCTTACTAGCGGGAAGGTAAACGGCGTTCCGTGTGCTGCGCTGGCTCGCCAGATGCAGCTTGTAACACTGGCCACGTGACCCGGAAGTGTCTGCGGACAGCGCTGGCCCCCGGCCTATAGAGTGAGATGGGCGCACAACCCTAGATTCTGGCAAGACTGGCCCGTACGGGCAGGGGTACCTTTACCTTTACCTTTAGTGTTAAGTTGTGGGCGAACATGTCATACGACACAGCGATTCTTTAAACAGCTCTTCTTTATTCAGATGCCAGAACAGAACTAGCTGAGGAGCTCAGTCAGCCTGCTTCTATAGAGATCCAGAACAATGCAACTGTTGCCATTTTCTAGAACTATCCAATCACTGAACGTCACTTTTCGATCCTTCATTTGCATACAAAACTATCCAATCACTCAACGTCACTTTTCGATCCTTCATTTGCATAACTATCTATAGTATCCCCCTGCTGGCCCAGGGTGAGAACTTCAGTACATAACAGCTATCATATCTCCATATGACAACCCTTTAGATTTGTTTCAGCATTAGCTGAAATAATTTTTGCACAAATGCTGAACCTTACCTCTGGGGGAATGCTTTCTTCCAGATGAGGGTAGAGGGCTAAGGGGTGCTGGCTAAGGCAATACTCAATCTGAGCAATGTAGTCCCTTCTGGCTTGCAGATTTGGGCTGATTTTGGAGGTCTTCGTCTGGGGCTTGGTTAGCATCCTTTTGGCCCTCGGTTGCATTTTGCCCGGGTCCTCAGGTTTACTAGGGAGAATAATAGGGGTGAGCTCCTTTGGGCGTCGGATGACAATGTTGTCACAAGGAGGAGGGAAACCGTCCCTGAAATCGTCCAAGCCATTTTTCAGGAAACGCCAGCGCTGGCCGTTTAAGGAATCCAAAAGCCCGGATTTGTTAAGGGAACGCTTTTGAAAGCATTTAAAGGGCATTTTCTCCTTGCATCTGGAAAACAACAACACTATGTTAATAATAATAATAATAATAATAATAATAATAATAATAATAAATACATACATGGTTCCAACCACCAAACTTGCAGGATCAAACTGAAGTTTGTAGATTATATTTACAATGTAAAAAGATGGAATTTACCACACAACCCCAGGCCATATTTCTATGGGGCTTAGACCGGGTATGTTTTCTTAGAACTACAGCTGTTCTTAGCTAAAATTGCAATTGGAAGAATACATACCAGCAGGTGAAAGTAGCAAAATTCCACACAAAATCTGGCACCTAAGACGTGTGCAAATATTGCATCAGATGTTGGCTGGCTGGCTTCAGAGTTTTCACAAAGCAGCAAATCTTTGCCTCCCGGTAGAAAGCAGACAACTGAGCGCCGTTAAGCATGTGCGCTTGGTGTGTTTGGGCCTGGTTGTTGTGGCAACCGAACTCTGCAGAGCTGGTTCATTCACAGCAGCAAATGTTCTACAGGCAGGGACGAAGAGGATTTATCCGCCTTTTATGCTGTAAGGAGGTAACCTGAGAACACCAGCAGAGGAAACCTTGAAGGTCTCGATCCACTCACAGCATGCTAGGGCTGGTTGGGAAACCTTCCTCAGACTGAGGGCCACATTCCCTCACGGGCAGCATTGCAGGGGCCGCAAACCATTGGTGTGTGTGGCAAACATAGATGTGGGGGGCCAGACAGGCGCTGCTCTCCATCCTAGCAAGCAAGTGTAATAAACAAAAATCTGCCCTTATTCCCTTATGTGGGATACAAGAGCCCTTATAGAGTCCTTTGTAGGTTCTCCATCGGCCGGAGAAAATAACAGAGGCCAACCAGAGAATATTGAGACGCAAAACAGCTCGTAAGCCTGATCTTTATTGAAACTGTTGCAACAGGGTGCTCCCCTCACACGCAGGAAAGGAGGAGGACCCCAAACAAAGGTGTGCCTGCCCTTATATAAACATTTTAAATTCCCTGCCCTGGAGCTCAAGACCCCCCCCTCCATACATCATACCTACATCACAGAAAGGGCGGTCTACAACAGAAATCTGAGTGTGTTGTTTATCTCCTGTCTGGCAGGTTACCTGTTAATGGTTACTTGATTGGATACCCTGGGGAGCCTGGCCAGTCTTCTGTAATGACAAATACTTAGTTCCTGAGCCAGGTCACAGGCTCGCCCTTTTCATACACGGACATACCCTTAAGACAGGATTTTGTGAAGGAAAAGACAATGGGGAGGCACTTCCATTTTCCTTCGACCTTGCAGAGAAATATTTGAGGTCAATTTGGGAGGGACAAAATGGTTTCAGGGCTTTTTCTGTGGGGTTTCAGACATGTGGTTTATATATGCAGTTATGAACCTTTATCTCATATATATATATATATATATATATATAACCTTAAACTTTTTGTTTCACAAGACATTGTCAGAGTTCAAGGATACATTTCAGCCATGTAAAATGAGGAGAGGAGGACCCAGAGCAGGGAGAGGCAGAGAGAAAGAGAGAGAGAGAGAGAGAGAGAGAGAGAGAGAGAGGCTTCACGTTCTCCATTTCTGCACTAAAGGAACATGCAGCTTGGAGGGTGTGTTCCAATAATTCCTTAGGTCCCAAATATAGAGAGTCTCCCAAATTGACCTCAAATATTTCTCTGCAAGGAGGAAGGAAATGGGAAAAGCTTTACAGTTGTCTTTGGACTGTAGGGGCCTACATCTCCCTGCAAATACAGTCTGGAAAGTATCTGTTAAGCTGAGCAAACTATCAATAGGTGTAAGAGATTCAGGAACTACCATCGCATGGCCAGGCTACCCAGAAAATGCAATCAAGTAAGGCATGATCAGGTATCCTGGCAGACAGGAGAGAAGCAAGACTCTCAAATTTCTGCTGGGGACTGCCTCCTTCTGTGATGTATGTATGATGTTTCGGGGGTGGTCTTGGGGTACAAGGTGAGCAATTTCAAAAGTCTTTATAGGGGCTTGCACACCATCGTTCTGGGTCTCTCCTACCTCCTTGCAAGAAGGGGAGGGAACTCTGTTGAAAAATAAAGATCTGCCTTGCTTTCTATGGATCTTGCCTCCATCCATTCATCTCTGACCAGTTCTTATGCTTCCAGTTGCTTCAAACTGTGCAATATTTAATATCTGCAACAGAGGTCGGTTCCACACGATAGCAGAATCAGGCCTTTAGCATGCTGGTACCTTTCCTGTGGAACTCCATCCCACCATATATCAGAGGGGCACCTTCCCTATTGTCTTTCCAGCACTTGCTAAAGGTATTCCCCTTTCAACAAGCTTTCTAAACGGAGATCTTTATTCCAGCAGGGATCTGTCTTGGATTTGAATTGCTTTTCTGTCTAAGCCATGGTTGGTTTAAACATAGACAGATAGCTACAGGTAGTATTTGAGAGTTTTTAAAATTGCTTTCAGGCATGCAGTTAACTGTTTTTATACAGTGGTACCTCGGGTTAAGTACTTAATTTGTTCCGGAGGTCTGTTCTTAACCTGAAACTGTTCTTAACTTGAAGCACCACTTTAGCTAATGGGGCCTCCTGCTGCGGCCGTGCCACCGGAGCCCGATTTCTGTTCTCATCCTGAAGCAAAGTTCTTAACCTGAAGCACTATTTCTGGGTTAGCAGAGTCTGTAACCTGAAGCGTATATAACCTGAAGCATATGTAACCTGAGGTACCACTGTATACGTAATTGCTTTATACAGTCATACCTCGGGTTACAGACGCTTCGGGATGTGCAATTTCAGGTTGCGCACCGCGCCGAACCCGGAAGTACCGGAACGGGTTACTTCCGGGTTTCGGCGCTTGCGCATGCACAGAAGACCAAATTGTGACCCGCGTGTGCGCAGATGTGCAGGTTGCGAACGCTGCAGGTTGCAAACTTGCCTCCCGCACGGATCACGTTCACAACCCAAGCGTCCACTGTGTATGGTTTTCATTCTATTGTAAACCACTTTGGGGCACCTCGTGGGAAAAGATTCATAAATGAAAATAACCTATAATTTGAGGTGGGGACAGCCAACTGCAGAGGCTACTGAAAGTGGTAACGAATTAACATGATGAAAAATTGGGTTTTGAATGCCATCATCTGGAAAGGCCCCTGCAGCCCTGGCTTCTAATAACACCACTGTTTAGCAGAACACACAGGCTGTTGGGAAAGTCCCGTCCCCCACGCCAGCGGTCCCAGAGGCCAGCTGATACTGAAATTCACAGCTAACCACAAGGGTCACTGCCTACCACACAAATGCACTTCGATATGCAACACCAGCTCATGGAAATAGCCAGATAAGGAAGTGGAAGTGTTTGCAAACTCTGGAGGAAAAACATCTGTGATGTATCAGTCGGTCCTGAGAGGGATTTCTGCTGCTCCGTTACATAATGTCTCTCTTTTCCCCCTTATATGAGGGTGTCAGTGAGCCGGCAGTGGAACTTACCCAAAGCAGCTGCAGGAAGTTCTAATCTGGACCTGGATGCTCCACGCACATAACTTTTTCCCCTCAGGAAAATAAAACGTCTTGTGAGAGGGGCTATTTTGGCTAAGGAGCTATGTGCACCAAAGAGAGAGGGGAGAATCTCTTCCTGCCCATCCAAATGTCAGCTTGTTTTTCTCTTTGTTTATTCACTTCCCACCCGTCATCAGGTTTCTGGCACAGCTCGCAAAAGGGAACATTTAAAAATTCAATAAAGCAAATTAAAAAAACAGACGTTTTTATTACACGGGCGCAGACCTGACACAAGTAAATAAAACACCGAAAAATTGCAAAATTGCTTTACAGGTCCTTGCAGCAGAAAAGAAAAATTTAGCATCAGTTTCTGTTAATGTTTGGTCTGTGTCAGCCGATGAGGCCAATGACCATACAGAATGGAAATAAAAGCATTTAAACACTGCAGCATATAAAAGTGTCGTATAATAGCAGTTAGTACAAAATTAAGATTTAGCACCAAGAAGTGTAAAAGCAATGTATAGAGGACCTGGAGGAGGTGGGGGTTAGTGTTTTCCTGACACAGAAACTTCACCAGGCAAAGCTCAGTGGAAGGAGGAGCCCATAGATGTGGTGCCACCACTGAGCAGACCCTTTCTCTGTAGCGTAGCAGGAAGCTTACACTGAAGAGTTTAAGAGTACAGTGGTACCTTGGTTCTCAAACGGCTTAGTTGTCGAACAAATCGGCTCCCAAACGCCACAAACTTGGAAGTAAGTGTTCTGCTTTGTGAACATTTTTTGGAAGCCAAATGTCCGACGCAGCTTCCGCTTGAGTGCAGAAATCTCCTGCAGCCAATTGGAAGTTGCAACTTGGTTTTTGAACCATTTCAGGAGTCGAATGGACTCCTGGAACAAGTTCAAGAACCAAAGTACCACTGTACAGGCCAGCAGAGACAGCCATTTTATCCAAGACTGTAGCTTCCCATAAACACTTGCAGATGCTCCAAGTGTTCCTATTTTCCAGGGACATCCCTGATTTAGAGAAGCCGTCCCGGTTTCTGATTTCATCCCGGAATGTCCCACTTTTCCTTAGGATGTCCCTATTTTCATTGGAGGAATGTTGGAGGGCATGGAGTTATCCGACCCCCGAGCCATCTGAAGGCAATCCTGTGTAGGGAAGTTATTTTAAAATGCAGTACATGACATGAAATTTACTTTGTCAAAAATGTGTATATCAGGCAAAAGTACCGTATTTTTCGCCCCATAAGACGCACCTGACCATAAGACGCACCTAGTTTTTAAAGGAGGAAAACACACACAAAAATATTCTGAATCAAATGTTGTGCAGTGGTACCTTGGGTTAAGTACTTAATACGTTCCAGAGGTGCGTTCTTAACCTGAAACTGTTCTTAACCTGAAGCACCACTTTAGCTAATGGGGCCTCCCGCTGCTGCTGTGCCGCTGCCGCCGCACGATTTCTGTTCTCATCCTGAAGCAAAGTTCTTAACCCGAGGTACTATTTCTGGGTTAGCGGAGTCTGTAACCTGAAGTGTATGTAACCTGAAGCATCTGTAACCCGCTGTATAGGGAAGTTGTTTTAATGTTTAATGTTTAATTTTGCTTTTATATATGTTGGAAGCTGCCCAGAGTGGCTGGGGAGACCCAGTAAGATGTGTCGGATATAAATATTAAACATTATCATTATGGAATGGGACGTCCCCATTTTCATCAGAGAAATGTTGGAGGGTATGCACTTGGGCATTAAAATCCCTACCTTGGGGGGGATTCAAGACTCAGCTCATGTGTAAATTGACTCTAAGGCTGCAATCCTATCCCAGGATTTGTTTGGGGGGTAATTCCTTCTCCGTTCGAAGAGAAAAATCCCTACATTTAAAATCTGCACCTGTTATGTTTTCCTGGGTGCTGAAACCTACGTGCAAGAAGTTGCATAAGACACAGACTGAAAATCTAAGAACAGGAAGATGCAATTCCTGTGGGTGCATTTTGTTCTTATT